AAGGATAATTCCATAATGGGCTCACCACTGGACGAGCTTTATTGTCTGTCTGTGTATCTTGTTTTACGAGTACTACTTATGTAACTCAATACTAGCAAAGGTAACAAACTCCCCCGTCTACTTTCAGATCATATTCTGTCACCATAACTGGGTACTTAGTATTTTTCAAAACTAAGCTGGTAAATAATGCCTGTTATGTTATTAAAATAGAATAGCTTGTTGCAAGCATTTTAGTTTTAGTTTTTTTTTTATATCCTCACATTCTTATCCTTTTGTAGACTCATTAAGTACCTAAATATATATTTTGTATGTGATAGGTTGGCAAACCAGCGGATTATCGGATGGCAAGCAATCGGCGTCGCACATGGACACCCAGCAAAACCAGGGGAGTTACGAGTGCGTTATCGGACATTTAGGGATTGCGGAGGGATGGTAGATGGGAAGCGTTGGGCCTCCGGTTACCTCACTCACATGACGAAACACAGCGCTGTGGTTGTTTCACGCCGGTTTTCTGTGAGACTGCGGTATCACGGCCGAACCGACCCATTCGTGCCGAAGCTTGACTCTCCCAGGCATCAATATGTTTCGGTTCTTTGTCTACTAAAATCTTCAATCTCTTTTGCGTGGCCAGCAAACTCAGATAGATAGCGTGTTATCATCCCTTGATGCCTATCTGGACGATAATGGACAAGTAGGGACTGTTCAACGCACCAGTTTCCTCTAAGTAACATTAACCTTTTGTTTTCATGCCGCGACATACATACAGACTTCATTATTTGTGTCATCATGATAACGTACTGTTATTAAAATGAATAAAAACAGAAAAACAGCCGAGCGACAATATTTGTTTGGACAGCAATCACAACATTCTGACATACTTGCTTTACTGCGTTATCTCCGTATGAGGGGGAAACATGTCAACAATATTTTCATCCCCAGAGCGTGCGATTGCAATCACATTCTTAGTAATAAATTAAAACCAGGCACAATTTTTCAGCTGGGGTTTAGAGCAGGGAGGCTTTTAGTCAGTAAGAGTCTGACACTCTCTCGCCCCACTCTGGGCTAAGTCTGGCCCGAAAGAAAAGGGGGTTTACAAATAAAAAAAATTTGGGCTGATTTTTCAATGGTTAGGTTAGGTTATGATGCTGTCGCGTTACAATGTTTTGTATAAGACAGTGAAAGCATCAATTTTCATTCCTCAGATAATATTTATCTGACTATTGAAAAATCAAGCCTTAGATCCAAATCCAAACTAATATTATAAATGCGAAAGTAACTCTGTCTGTCTGTCTTTTCTTCACACCTAAATTACTGAACCGATTTCTGTGGAATTTGGTACACACATAGTTTAGAACTCAAGAAAGGACATAAGATACATAGTTTTTATACCAAAAATCTGTAGGAAGTCACTGTTCCACGCGAACGCAGTCACGGACAAAGGCTATTAAAAAAAAACGATGCGTAAAAACAAGAATCCTTAGAATCGTTAGATAACGCAGGAGCGTTATCTAACGATAGACTTGTGTAATCGGAACAAAAAGAGTAAATACATAATTTGGCAGTCACACAACCGGTCCGATTCAGTTTACTAGAAACCTCGCGTTTACTCAAATAAGTACTTCGGTACTTTCTATCTCGTGTTGACGCCATTTTTAAGTGTTTCTTACAACTTTGAACATTTCACAATACTTTAATGGATGTTATACACACAACGACTGCCCATTGATTTAGAAATTTATAATATTGACCTACGTCACTACGGGAACATTCAAATTGATCATTTACCCCAGCTAATAATCATTTCGTCAAAGTTCGCGCATCCTTGCACAAAGAACAGTACCTATATTTTGCATTACTGCAGTGATAAAAATTATAATGTTCTTATGTTTGATTCTCATTAAACGCTGAACCGATTTAGATAAATTGTTGTAATTATTGTTCCGGGTCTGGGTGTGATCTGTAGGTATGTGAAATTGTATGTTTGTGAACGCGACACGACACAGGAGAAAATCCTAGTGTGGGGCTCTCTATCTTCTTTTGCTCTAAGGTAGAGGTATACATAGAAAAGCCGTCAGAAATACCACTGATGTCCCAATAATAAGGAAAATCATCGTTTTGTTTACGTTCGTTGATGAAGCTTACACAAACAACTCAACACAACACTAACAATTCTTAGTAAAGAGGTAAAGCTTTCCACGTGTGTATAGATGCCCCCATTAAAGGCTCGCTCGTGACGTCATTGTGCGGGCAAATAGTCGAGTGATGGCGATAAGATAGCATAACGATTAGTGGATCACAATAGTCATTATCGCGCGTTATCACCCTGTGTGAACACGCTACGTACGCAACTGTTCTAATCACTGTTTGTTTATATTATTTAAGTTTTAAATTCTACTAGCTCTTACCCGCGGCGTCGCTCCCGTCACTTGACTACCGACCCTACTCTACCTAACCTACTCTACCTACCCTACTCTACCTAACCTACCCTACCAACTCTATCCTATCCTATGTCCTTCTCCTAGTTCTTAGCAACCTCCCAACGAATTATCAGCCAAATCGGTTCAGCCGTTCTTGAGTTATTAGTGGAGGTATAACACGACTTTCTTTTATATTCTTCTTCTTATATACTTATATATATATAAATCTTATATATAAAAATGGATCGCAAAATGTGTTGTAAGCGCATAACTCAATAACGCCTGGACCAATTTGGCCAATTCTTTTTTTAAGATGTTCGTTGAAGTCCAAGGATGGTTCTTACGGCGAAAAAAAATCGAATAATTGCCGGGAAACCCTAAAAACAGTCTTTTCTTTTTCACATACAAACGTTTTCTAACTAAAACGTCGAATCAATTTGAGCTTTATTGCTGTTATACATAAGGTTCATATTAAATAACAAGCACTCACTGTTATCTAAGAAATAAATGAAAGAAGAAAAGGTGTGTTCCTAACGTCAAAAAGTAAATTTGCACTTTCTTACCGCTAAACAAGGTTTAAATTCAATCATATCTATCAAAACAGTGTGCGCGTGTGCTTTGGAGCTGGAGCACAGAATTCGTCGTTTGAGGAGTAATAAGTCGGGTTCAAAAAACAAAAAAAAATCCGATTTGAATGATTGTTTCAGTGTTATGTAGTCCATTTATCGAGGAAGGTATATTTTATTTAATTCAAAATTAGGGATCTGTAATAAAATTGCTATTTTGTAACACAAGGAGTAAAATCGAAAACCTATTTTTGCGTGCGCTGCAAAAACTATTGACCATAGAACAAAATGATGTACCTACTACGGGTTTGTATATTCTGTTAAAACCTACAAAAAGTCCGCGAGAGCATATATCTAGCTATCATGGTTTAATCACAATACCCGATTTTGTGTTCAAAATAATTATTAAATCGTCTGAAGGAAAAAAGCGTTAAATATGTATCGTTATATTATTCCTTATCGGAATTAAGCATTACTTATGTTATCAAGAGTATTTATTTATAAGTATTTTAAAATACTTTTTTATTTCCTCTCAATCTCTCAATCATTTAAAAGTTATCATGTGTGTAAGATGTTAAGAGTTGCTACCTTATTAATGAGTTATGGACCATAGAGTTTTTTATCAACATAAAATCCTGTAATAATATTTTTTGTAATATATTTGTTGATGATTGTAAGTATAAGATCTTTGTAGAGTATAGGTAAACTTGCCTAATTCGTACCTGCGCCTAAATCGTACCTCGTCTATATCTTGGCATGGGTAATAGTTACCAACGCCTCTGATGGCATAAAATGTCAATAATAGTCAGCCAGATTGCCATATGACAAATAAACACCTGTTACGTTGCTCCCGACAAAAATATTGAACGGGTAAGATTTTTCTCACTCTTTTTCACTTTTCGAGTAATTTTTTTGCATACTTCACAAGAACTGTCTTCCAAGTATACCGTTCATAAGTTGTTTAACTGTTTATTATATATTTATACGTATATTTGTGAATATATTTCACATGGTAAAGCAGACTTGTTCGTTGACAGTTTTTTTTTGCGGCTAATTTGAAATTCATTTGATACTTGTGCCTAATTCGTACTCACAGCAACTTCTTAAAACGTACGTACTTACGATTTAGGAAAACAATGTTTAATATCACAGTAAATATACTACTTGATTATTTTTTAGTACATTTCTAAACTAACTCTGCTAAGGAAAAGGAAATCCAAGGAAAAACATACATCTTAATTTGGACAGTTGCGGAAGCCATACGATGTAAATGAATTAAATGAGTATATTACTGTAAATGCACCCAAGTTCTTTAATGACCAGGTAATTCTTCAGGTAATTCTTCCAGGTAGTTCTTTAAAAACTAGCTTTGGCAGTAGCGTCATCTGGAATCGCTGCTACTATATTAGCCGGCGTACGCACAGCTCATTACACTTTTAAACTAACATAACCTAACCGTTCCGTTACAGAAAAATGGCCTTTAGGCAAAGTTTTGTAAGATGTCACTATAATAATCTGGGATGAATGTACCATGATTCATAGAGCTCATGTAGAGGCTCTAGATAGGACTATTATAGATATTAGAGACTGTGATAAAATCATGGTTGGGATTACTGTCATGTTTGCTGGGGATTTTCGGCAAACTTTACCAGTAGTAGTAAGAGGAACTAAAGTAGACATTGTAAATAATTGCCTTAAAAGTTCTCTATTATGGAAATTTGTTCATACCTTAAAACTATCTACGGACATGAGAGCATATTTGGGAGGAGGTAGTACAAATTTTCCTTTGAAGTTTCTTTTAGTTGGAGACGGAAAAGTACCTTATTTTGAAAATAAAATACCTATTGATCAAGATTTAGGAGAAAAAAGACTAGCATTGAGAGTTTAATATCAAAAGATATCGTCGAAATAGAAAATAAAGATTATCAATGGAAGTGTGCACAGTCGGTGCGGTGGCTGGGCAACTGGCTGCCGTGCAACGTGTCGCGGGTTCGATTCCCGCACGGAACAACACTTTGTGTGATCCACAAATTGTTGTTTCGGGTCTCGGTGTCATGTGTATGTGACATTGTATGTTTGTAAACGCACCCACAACACAGGACAGAATCCTAAAATGTTTTTTTTTTGTGAGGGTAAAATCATCAAATGACTTCTCCCGCCCAGGGCCGGGCAGGATGGAGTGTCAGACTATTACTGACTAAAAACCCCCCTGTTCCTTCTCCTGCTCTATGCCGAGGTCGCGGTGCCTCCCGCAACCCCGGCTGAACATCAGCTCTTTAGGGCCCCGTCTGTGGTGGTCCAATGGCTCTTTGAGGCGCGCGCGGAACGCTACGCGCCGTACGCTCGGGCCTGGTTCTGGTCGGGCGGCGAGCTGCCCTTACTCGCCGACCGCAGGCCCGTGCTTACGGGTACAGTAGAGTAAAGTCTAAACAGTAGTGTTGACAAAATTAACGATTTAATTTTAACTTTTTTTTTTATGTAATAGGTCGGCAAACGAGCAGACGGATTACCTGATGGTAAGCAATCAGCGCCGCCCATGGACACTCGCAACGGTGGAGTTACGAGTGCGTTGCCGACCTTTCAGTGATTAGGGATTTGGAGATATAGGGATTGAGGAGGGATTGGGGAAGGGGAAGAATTGGGCCTCCGGTAACCTCACTCACACGGCGAAACACAACGCAGTGGTTATTTCACGCCGGTTTTCTGTGAGGCCGTGGTATCACTCCGGTCGAGCCGACCCATTCGTGCCGAAGCATGGCTCTCCCACACTTAAACTTCCAATGGATCAAGAATATGCAGTCCATTATCTACAGGGATGTTTTCATTGTTTAAACCCGAGGGGCATCCCATCACATTCTCTCAAGTTAAAAATTGGTGCCCCATTATTTTACTTAGAAATTTATGTACCGGGAGACTGTACATTAAATTTGTTCGCAATAACGTGATAGTTGCAATAATAGTTCTGACTGGTCCAGTGGTTGGTCGAACAGTATTTAAACCTCGGATCCTAATGATTCCAAATGATTTGCCTTTACATTTTAATCCAATTCAGAAAATAAAACAAAAAATATAATTTACTCAGAAGTACTTCAAAATTATATTTGAACCCGGTTTAAAGTGGACGGACACTCCCGCCTGTAGTCGTAATTCTTACTCTGGCTGAATTTCGAACAGATAAACAGCTATTGCTTACTTGACTTATACAATTTAACTTAATCTATATTTTTCTTAATATTATACCTAAACATGAAAAGTTTGGTTGTTTGTTATGAAGGCGGTAATCTCGGGAAATGCTGATCTGATAATTATGAAAACTGTTTAAATATTCAATAGTCCATTTATTGAGGGAGGCTATAATATAGGCAATATTTTATCTCGGTATTTCCACGGAAACGACAAAAACGCGGGTGAAACCGCGGGGCACAGCTAGTAGGTATATAGATTATGGGATAGGAGGGTAAATGAGCTGACTGATAACCTGATGGTAAGCAATCAGCGGCAACATCTGTGGAGATGGAAGTGCGTTGCCGACCTTTTGGGATACGCTTGGGATCCCGGTATCCTCACTCACACTTCGAAACACGACGCAAGCATTATTTAAAGCTGGTCTTCTGTGAGGCCGAGGTATTATTAATGATACATGAATATAAGTAACTGCCCAAAAGCCTACCTATTATTCACGTCCTTTACAACTTTACTTTTGAAGGGACGGGTGGACGTCAACAACACTATAATTTATTAACTTTTGTCGTAGGTTAGTCTAACACTAGCTAGAATAATACAATTGGAAATGGTCATGGTACGTTGGTGGTCGTGGTCCTATTCAGGGCATTCAGGATAAACCGGGGATAGGACCGGCGCAGTGTCACCGCGAGGGATGTATCGACAGTGCGCATGCGCGGGCGAGTGAGGCACTCACATTTATCGCGGAGGAGAATTAGGAAAACTACCGCAGATATAAGATATCGTATCTATCTCAAACGTTTTCTCTAAGAATCTGCAAAAACAATCTGTAATAAGTACTAACATACCGCTGCCTGCCTACTTACTATATCTATATTTATACTTATGTAATAAATTGTATTTCAGATAAAAGTATCTTATAAAACAAGTGCTACGCTAGTTATTACTTGCTTTATCCTATTGCCCGGTGTGGTTTATTTTTATTTAAAAATGAATTTCGAAGATTCATTTAACAAGAAACAAATGCCTACCTACCAACAATATAAATACGTATGATCAAAGAAGTATTTTTTAAATGATATACCTTCTGAAACCCATCGAACGGCCTATAAGAGAGAAGATAAAGCCTAACAATGTAATTTGAACTTTATACTCACTGTTATGAGTATCCTTTTCACTAAAAACGATTTCACTGCAACTTCAAGTATACACAAACTGAATGATAAACACAGCAATACACAGCCGCCATGCGACATACAAACAGACTGACGCCTGCCGTTACACATGCCGTGATCTGTTGGATTACCATACAAGACTAGTATGTTGTATTAATGCTATACTAATGCTTCAAATACTTACTCATAGCAATTCCTGCGTGGGCTTTGCAGACGTAGAGTACTCTAACTTCGTAACTATATTGAATTAAAAAAGTAAAGCTTAAGGAGATCATCCCTTCATCCCTAGATAAACATTACAATATAATTATGATGTCAGTGGATAGATGAGAAATTTAAATGAAATTTTGTGCAATGTCAGCAGAAATTTTCAGTATATTAATGTTGTATTCTTAAAACCTCAATTTCGTTTGTAAGTTTGATTGAAATTCCAATATTTTCATTGTTCTTTTGATTAATATAATTATACAATTAAACGTTTTTTTTTTTTATTTAACCTTTTATCTATCATTAAAAGCAACATCTAATAAGAACAATATGTGACATTTAATTGAATGTGTCTAATTCATAATAGTGTGAGTTGTATGGCCGCGTAGGCGGATAGCGACGCAGGTACCGCCGCACTCCCATTGTCTGTGCTATGTGTCACTCTTTGGAGGATAATTGTAGTAATTTCATGTACCACGAGTTCTGTGTGAGGGCAGAGTAGGTCAACTGAAGCAATGCTGCTGAGTAACACACCAAGTGTTGCCTTCCATGTGACACTCTGACACTTTATTGTTAGTGAAATTTGGAAAATTTTCCCAAAATAAAGCTAACCATCAGTTATAGGACCAAGTAATACAGGTCCTTATATTGCTTCTTATGGTTGTTCCAACGAATATGTTTATATAATTTTTTATATTTTCTGTATGAGTCATTGGTGGCAGCAAATCGTTACCTAACACCTGATCTTAAGTATTAAACATAAACAATGGCCAATACCACCACATCGGCCCATACGAACGGCACACTTACACACTAAATATAAGAAATGCACTTACTTTAGAAGAATCCACTTCGCTTTGCAACATTTTTCACTTTAAATCCAAAAATATACGAGTTTGTATCGTACTTCACAAACCGCACAAAAACCCAACTAAAGATAAATACAACGGTTCAATTGTTTCTGATAGCGGCGAGATATAGTATCTCACTGCTGCGTAACATCTTGGGAAGCTGCTCCAATGTCATTGCGATAAATAAAGCGAGATAACATGATACACATATACAATCCTGGGGTTCTTGGGTGAGCTAAACATTACAATATAGCTGTTTCCTTCTTTACCTGGCACGGTACACACACATTTGCACAGTTAAGAGTTAATTCACTTGAAGTTTAAAAGATAATAGAAAATAAGTTTGCTAATATGTTACACACACTAAATGAGGGGATGGATGGGTTGGAGAGGAATGATTGAGGGGAAGGATAGTCTCCGATCCTCACTCACACGGCGAAACACAAACCTTGTATTTTGAGAGGGATTGATCAAATGGTTTAGACCAAGTGTCAGACTCTTACTAAATAAAAACTGGTGTTCTTTTGCCTTCTCCTGCGCCGGGTAAGGGCCACGGTACATTATAATTATTACGCTTGCAACTGCAACCCCGGCTGAACATCACCCCTATTGGACAATCCTCCTCCTCACGCCCCAGCAGCCGCAACTGGCGACACTACGGGCGTCGGGGATCGAGGGACGATCTCCGGCCACCGTAAGCACGGGCCTGCGGTCGGCGAGTAAGGGCAGCTCGCCGCCCGACCAGAACCAGGCCCGAGCGTACGGCGCGTAGCGTTCCGCGCGCGCCTCAAAGAGCCATTAGACCACCACAGATGGGGCCCTAAAGGGCTGATGTTCAGCCGGGGTTGCGGGGTAAGCGCAACGAGGCACCGCGACCTCGGCACAGAGCAGGAGAAGGAACAGGGGGGTTTTTAGTCAGTAAGAGTCTGACACTCCCTCCTGCCCAGCCCTGGGCGGGAGAAGTCATTTGATGATTTTCCCCTCACAAAAAAAAACCCCTATTGGACCCCAAGTTTAGTGCTCTGGTTTTTGTGCGGCAGTGGTATCAGTGCGGACGAGCTGGCCCATTCGTACCAATACCCTGCTCTCCCACACTTATGAGTGTCAAAGAATCATAAAATAAACTATCATTGTTTTTCTTATCTCTGAAACTGACTGTGTAATAGGATACTACTCGAAGTTATAAATATACGAGGAGATAGCTAACATTAAAACACGAAACTCCTTAAACATATTGGAAAGCATGACAAGTGAAACTTCCTGCCATTAGTCCACCCAAGGAACCCCGTTTAAGGTAACCATAACCAGAGCTAATGTTACCATTACAAACGGAAACGCCGCACGAGTGAGAGTTGCCATCAGTAAAATATAGGAACTCGTTGTAATTACGTCTGACTGGGAAACGATCCTGCGTGCCGGAACATTCGGATCGAGTGAAGTGAACCGGAAGAATTCTTCTTGGAAAAACTAAGTCACACGCGTACATAGTGTGAACATTGTAAAAGGAAAATAGATCTAGGAAAATTACTAAACTTTGGTTTGATATTTAATCTAGACATGTCAACAACACAATTATTATATGCAAGGAAGGCGTGGAATTGTAGTTTGTTTTTTGTAGCTGAGCACTAATATCCAATAAAAGAGGCTGAAATAACTCAAACCAGTTACATGTGCCGCTCGTTCCCCCGATGTTGCTATCCTACATCTCCCGATGGTTATCAGAAGCAAATAAGTATTTTATCCTTTGAATATCTAACGTGCACTCTACTTGAATAAGACACTGCGCTGTGCACGATATTATCAATCGTGTGTGATTAGTGATGCTGGCTCGGAAGACCAGTCACGTAGCAACTAGAGAAATTCTGACATGAACTGTCACAGTGTCTGTCTGTGTTTGGGCACACTTACGCATTGCGTTGTGAGAAAAGTGCGATTACTAGTTTATATTTTTATATAATTGTACTTATTCTTATATTAAATTAAATATAAATGGACGTTTCATTATGTTTCCGCGAAGTGTCTCATTATGGAGTTCTATTTAATAGGAGATTACAACCCTGTAGCAAACCACCGTTTTTAAGACTCAGTTTCGCTCATTCGGTGCTCCGTAGTGGCATTTTCAATTAGACCAAAGATTTAGTTCAACCACCAATGGAGCATTATAACAATGCACAGGCTGGAAGTTTAGTTAGAAACTTCTCAGCGACCCAGAAAACGTAACAGTTCCCAAAAGGGACTCCATCAATCGCAATGGAACCTGTCCGCAGGCGACACACTTTGCATCCAGTCCACATGCAAATCCCAGTGACGTCGCGCGTCGCCTGCATTCCAACTACTGCAGTGTAACGGCACGCACGCAATTACCGGAGGACCAGTTTCGAAATGTTGAGGCATCGACGCCATGACACCATCTTACAAATATGTACTTCACAACAGCTCTAACCTGCACTCTAAACTATCAGCTCCTGTTCATGTTTCTAACAATTCCAATACAACTACCATGCAGTCTCTGCTACACGGCACTCAGTGACTCAAAATATAAGGTACCTGATGATTTAGTACTGAGATTAGTACCATAGATATTGTTTCTGTTAAGCAGTGGACTGTTTGTCTCACTGTACCGTGTGTTTACGTACGAATACGTACAGTGCACGTGTTAAGACACACAAGTGTGTCTATGTGTGTCCGTAATTTAAATAGCAATGTCTAAAGTCCTATATCTATGTAGTCTGTGCCTCGAAGGGCTCCGCTCTACCTTAGATCCGGTAGTGAACACCTGTGTGCTACGACTCCAATTAAGTTGATTAACAGTATTCCGCAGCAATCGCTTGACAGTCTTTTATCTTTCATCGAACCACAACACTGTCGGCAGCCGTAACCTTCTTTGACATAAAAATCCAAAGAAAAGTAGGTAGTAGATGTATACATCATCATGTATATCAGAGGTGCCTAAATAAAATTAGAATGTTTAGACATACTTATATTATTTTATGTTATAAGTCGACAAACGAGCCGACGAGTTACCTGATATTGCTGCTACCGTCAGCGCCCATGGACACACAATACATGGCAACACCATAGGAGTTACGAGTGTGTTGCCGGCCTTTTAGGGATAAGAGTTTCGGATTTTATACACACGGCGATTTGTGTTTCACGCCAGTTTTCTGTGACGCCGATATCATTCTTACTTGCCAGGTTTAGAACCCGCATCCTCTTGCATGGGAAGTGAGTGCCTAACCACAACCACGACATCTCTAATTATGTCGTGGTTGTGGTTGGCCAAATTCGTTAGAGAAAAGGATTACCTGTGGATGTGGATAAAACAATGGCTGTTGTTATCCAAATAGTACCTAGCATGCACCGGGCTTCCAATGCACTTGGTAGAAGTCAGGTACGTGATCACGAACAAAGAGGCAGTCGTAAGAAAGAGTGTAAATACAAATGCCAATCAATACTTGTACCTACTTAGGTGCGAGACGCAAGCCACGTGATTAATAGGTACCTACATAGCATACTACACTAAATACAAAACAAATTACAATAATTTGCAGTGAAAGGTGACCGTCGAGCATCAAGCAATCAACTCCAGCTCGCGGGACAAAAGGCCTACCAACTTATACATGTATAACAATACTTAATCAAATGTTTGCCTTCCGTTTCCTCGTCAGTGGTTGTAAAAAACAAATAATTAATGAGTGTTTAACTTAACAAATCCCAAGTCTGGTTTTCATCAATGAAAAGCCTTTAAGGAAAGTTTAGGCAAAACTAGACTCGGCCTTAAGTGAGTAACGAAAAGCCTACTTTAGCATGTTAGCACGCTGCTTACCTCAACAACATATTAACACACAGTAGGTAAGGCTAGCAAGTACTCTGAGCCGTCCCTCAGTACCGATGCAAATGACCGCGATTAGTGAACAGGTAACTGTAACCGAACCAGCGACCTTGTGGACACGGCGCAGCAACAATGGATGCGATAGTTGAAATGAGAAGACAGTTTTTAATGATAGCAAAATCCTGTATGTGTATGTGCCATGATGCCCAACGTCCAGTTTTTGCCAGTCCTGGGCCGATGATGATGCCGACGATGATGATTACCTACAATAATATAATGACGCAACAAACAAAGTACCTAACGGGCAAATATGCTTGGTAAACAAAATCCTCTCCGCTTCGACAAAAGGTGGTTTTGAATCAATATGTCGATGGTGTTAACAAATATCATAACCGTTAACATCTAAATATTTTATCATCATGAAATAGTACTTATTTTAACCGTACACTACACTACCCATGGCCAAATTTCTTTTATACATTCCATCTAAAGGTTGTCTGGAAGAAATCACCTTGTGTGATAAGACCGCTCATTGTAATCACAACATTCGGTCATAGTATCCAATGTATTGCTACTTGGTGTATGTGTGCAATAAAGTATATATAATATAATATAAATAGTGCCAACCCAATAAAATTTAAATTCTGCAGGCTACCTTGGAGCATCTGTCTTGAAGCTAGCAGCTGCCGCATCCAAAGTATTTGTTGGTAACATTCGCAAGGCGCACGTTCGCGTCCCCGTGCGAGCTTCCGCGTCGGCGCACGCGCCACTTCCCATAAACAGAGGCACGGAAGTCGTTCCACCGCACACTGCTGGATGGAGCGCCGTGCTCCCGATACCGGTAGAAAGGGATGCCTGCCTTCTACGACACTTAATGAGTTTGTTAATGGTTTGCTATCACTAAGTACGGTGAACGAACGTGGTCCTTTGAGGACACGGCTTGAAACTGAACTAGAATGGTACTTACTAAAGAGACGATCAGCAGGTTAGCACCGACGAGCGATAGGAAGTGTGTATTCCTTTACCATCATCATCAGCCTATAAGTGCCCACTACTGAGCAAAGGCCTCTTCTCATACAGAGAAGGATGGGTTGGCGATTTCAAACTTATAATTAGAAATTATAAGTCCAGGTTTCCTCACGATGTTTACCTTCACCGTATGTCAGTGGTGTCTAAATAATCTTAGAAAGTACATATAACTCGGAAAAAGTCACATTGGTACTTGCCAGGTTTCGAACCTACACCCTCATGAATAAGAAGCGGGCTTCTTAACCTCCGGGCCACCACGACATAGCCTTTACCATACCATACCATAATATGGACCACATACTGCATTGCAGAGTATCTACCTACCTACTCGCGACACCAACGATGAAAAGCTTTTCAAGGATTTATCAACTCTGTCGTATTACGGCCGATAGCAGTGTACACCAGCTACTACTAAATACACAAATGAACGCTAAAAGAAATGTGTGTACGAGAAACAGTTTGCCTGCGTAGACACATAGCGTCCCGTCCATCATAGTCTCGTTACATTGAGACGCAGACAAAGCGGCTTGTCACATATGTGCCAGTAGTCGGTACTTTCCATTTCATTTGGTTGGCAGTGAAAGTGCGGGTGCTATTGACCTTTGCCAAGCCCACCTAGTGGCACCACCACACATTGCTACAGCCCGGAGCCCTCCAACCTGTTACCGATGGCTAAAGAATGTCGAAGAAAGATAACTCCGATACATTTTGTGTTTGAATACAATCGCCACTAGTTACGAAAGTAGACAAGTGCCGATAATGACGTCAGTGAATGTCGACAAGTCGTTGGTCAAATTCAAATCTTTTTTCGAAATGCAGCACGTATGGGAGTGATCTCACAAAAAACCGGCGTAAAACCACCACAGCATTGTTTTGCTGTGAGAGTGAGGTTACCGGAGGCCCAAACCGTCTCCATCCGTTAACAATCCTTTGATATCCGTATTCCTTATCCCAAAAAGGTCGGCAACGCATTCGTAATTCAGTGTTGCGGGTGTCCATGGGCGACGTTCGCTGCTTACCACACATGGCGAACACGAGATCCCATCTATCTATCAGGAAAATGTGTAATAAACCTCAAGTTGAAAATTCTCCCCATCCCCAATCCCCAAACAACCTGCAACGCACTTGATGTCATCCTTGTGCTCGTTTTGTCGCCGTTACCCATAATACAAAGCGAGGACTAAGTGAAAAAGCAAGCAAATAATTCAGTAAATCTGTTTATTGGTATACAGACGCTACGAGATGGTAGTCAATAAGTATCGTCAACATGCGACAGAAAATGAAGTGCACGCACCGCGCACTCCGTTACACGGTACATTGTACGCCGGTTAGCGTTCATTCTCTGCACAATATTACAAATCAAATATATGTTAGCATTGCTAGCTGCAATTTGCTATATAGTAACACCAGTCCATATCAGTAGATATAATATACATTAAAACTAGGAACATTAAAAAACGTCAGGCTAGTCAGACTATAATTATGATTCAAATACAAAATAATGTTACATCATAACTATAATATAGTTTTACTGTAATTGGCTGCTCGTTGAACCAACATTTTTACGTTATCTGATTCCTCTGTCTGTCAACTGTAGCAAAAACCTATCGAATTGTTTATTTCATACAAAAATGTGCTTTATTTATACCTACAATAAATGATCACACATTCACCTGCTTTATTCCTCCCTAACTTTAGTCCCGTCAGCCAGTTATCTACAGAGTAATTTAGTAAAATACTCCATATAAAATTAAAAAGCCGATTTTCCTCAAAGCAAACTATAGAATTTATAGTTTCGTATGAAAGATATTCAGCACGGATGCAGCAGGAAGTAATGAAATGACGGGACGCTAGTTGCTGTCTCAATTAATATTTTAAAATAAAAAGTATACTGGTGAGTACTATTTGTGTAATCATTCACTCGCACAGCATTCACACGTCAGGTAGTGGCAACAAACGATGTACAACACGAGTCAGTAACAGCGTGGAGTGCCACCATACTCCACAGTGACGGATTAGTCGCGGAGCAATACTGGCCAATGCTTCCTCCGTGAGCCCCGGTAACAGTGGGCCGAGCACTGTACGAGGCCACGCGCAACATCTGCCTTGTGACGCCGATGGTAACGTAATCTGTCCGCTCATTTGCTTCTTGTTCCATATAAAAAGGCGAGCCAGGCATAAGGGCGCCCAGGTAGAAGGGGGGCCCTAATAAGAAGAAAGTTCCGCATTACGATACCACATCTGTCTAAGAGTAATAAATTTTGCTCGAAACTTATTAAATCGGGAGGTTCTTCAATAGCTATGTGCCAGAGTCCCCCGCATGCTTAATCGGCCACTGCAGTTACGTAGACTGGGCGCGCCACACCCGGCCAGCCGGCAGGACGCAGTAGTTGCCCCCCCTCCCCTAGCTCCTATTGTGACGGTTGCCCCACCCGCGGCGGTGGTCGTCCTTGTACTCGTCCATATTGTTTTTCCTCGCTCTCTCTTCAGGATCATCTTGTTCTTCCAGACGCTCCTATAATTGTGAATAATATTTTTTTATAAACATACATATGGTTGTATATATACATAACAAATGGTATTTTATAGAGAAGACTTGTGGTCAACGTGCGGAGGAATGGAAGCTTCCGTTGGCAAGACCTCAGTCTCTGCACAATATAAGACAAAGCCAGCACATCAAGCTGGCCAAAAGCATAAAAATGTCTAATTGATTTTCCGCTGTATTACATGACAATAAGGTTGAAAGTGAATTAGTTGAATTACGTATGTAATGCGCAATGTAGTTTACCTTTCGTATGGTCTCCTCCTCGTCGGGGTCGTTCTCCGTGCTCTGTATCGTCGTGTGCGGTATACTCGAGCATGCTCCGGGGAACCTACGTGTGGATCAAACAATTACTTTTTGAAAATGCTTTGATACACCAAAAGTAGTAAATGATCACCTAATCTTAGCGGGGTAATTAAGCATAAGATTATACCTATATTAAATATAATATGTAAGCTTATTGATTACTTGTTCATTGGCTATTACATTAGAATGTGAAAAAAGCCCTACTTGGATAATTTAGGTTACAAGTTGAGACCGTTAGCGGCCGCCAAGTGTCCCATCAAACATCGCGGTCAATAAGTATTTTTGGGTTAACAAGATGTGACAATCTTGGTGCACGTTTGCTGTTTTTGCCTGCTATATTTTACTATAAGTACTTATATGGTGGTAAGTATAAAATGTAAATAAATAAAATAATTAAGTCAAACAAAAGCCTTTTTATATAGTGACTAGCTGACCCGGCAAATGTTTTGCCATTCAAATTATTCATTGCTGGTCGACAATGAACAAATGTAATGTGACTGTTTTTATAATAATACGTAATTATCAGTACTCGATAAATGTGTAAGTTAACCTCTAGCTTCCTGGACTCAACAAGCGAACATTGACAGATTTACTCACAGGCCTTCCCTAACACGTTGGTCATAAAATTCTTCGACGGTGAGCGAGGGTATGGCCGGGTAGCCCGCCCCAAACACTGCCTTCTGCAGCTCATCGCGAGTTATTATCACTGGCTTTAGCGGCGCGCGGGGTCGTTCCGCCGGCTTCGGTTCTACAAGGTAATATTACTTTGAAGGTAAAAAATGCAAACAGAATAAACAAGTTATGTCTTCAGAGCAGTCAACTAAAATATCAAACCTCCAGCATTCTTAGCCATGTACTCCAGTATAGACTTCTCCTGCTCAATGCTGCTGAGCTCCTCAAAAGCCTGGTTGATGTAGTTTTCCAGCAGCTTCAAGAAGTATGCTCTTTTTGTTTCCTCGTCTGCTGAGGACTCCATCGCTTTGGACAGTACAGCCAACTGGTCTTTGAGCTCCTGCGCCTGCTTGTACCTTCTGATCTTAGCCTCCCTGGTTAAAACCTGCAAATACAATTGATACTTATGTCTAAGGATGATTTTGAAAGTACTAAAACTATAAATATGACCTTTAATATAAACATATTTGTGTAATGGGTGTATATTTTACCTTCCCATTTAATAGAGCTAGTGGTTACTACACTTACCAAACTGGCAATCTTGGCTTGTTCACTTTGTGGCTTCTCTACTTCACGCGACTCAGTTGTGGATGGCACCTCTAAGTCTGTCACTCCATAGTCTTTACACCTTTGGAGGAAATCTCTGCAAGGTCACAAAACATTTTTATTAATTTATGACAAACTAATTATGTAATTCAATTTAGATACCATGTCTTTTAATAGTAGCCTAGCTGATTTGATAAATTACATTAAACTAATTTCTTTACTAATGAGCTACTGATACAACTTATTGACTTTGAAAAGTACCTCATTATTCATTTATTTATTTATTATTTAGTTTTAAAGAAAGCTTACAGACTAATTACAACAATTAATTAACACATTACATAGGGATATTTGGTAATTACAAGCATACATACATACATGTATATATTTAATTTCAATTTTAACAAGAAAAAAAGAAAGACCCTTTTTAATTCTTTGGAAGGTGTACCACAAATAATTGCTTAAATTAAACAAAGGTCAACAAACAAGAAGATGGGAACAGTAGTGTACAGTATATAGATTAATAATATTAAACAAAGTAAACATAAATTTATGTATTTAAACTAGGAAGTACGAGGTTGGGAACATTTAGCAGGAAGCACAGGTAGCAGACCTACCTGCACTTCCCATCAACATATTCCCTATTCTGTAATTTTCTGATTGTTTGTGTGCTGGTACAATATTTAATTGAATTAAAATTTCTTACTTGTAATAAATCTCCGCCACATTAACAAGATCAATGCGTGGTTGGTTGCACAGCTTCAGGGTGAGAGTACCAAGCAGAGCTGGAAGCAACATGTAGCGCAGTGTCTCTGTAGGGAGCTCCTCCACCCCCTCATTCCTGCTGAACATTTGCGCCAGGGAAACAAGGTTTGTGGCCTTCTCAAACTTTGATATAGCAGACTTCACACTCAACTGTAAATTGTAACAAAAGTCTTTTAAGTATTGTTCTTTTTAATATAACATTACATATCGGACATCTATTACTAACAAAATAATTGGTTTGTGAATTTGATCATGATTTAATCTTTAAGTCAATCGCACAATTACAAATGGATCAAAGAATAATACATGTATGGAATATTCTAGGGGTGTCCATATCCCAACTATTACGCCTAGAAATACTTCAGATGCAGCAAATGGCTGTGTATTTTTTCACAAATCCTGATTACAAAAAAGACATTAACAGGTTTGATTAAAGAACACACCTGAGTACTATTACTGTTTGTGGGCTCGTTGCTTTTTTCTATAGCTTCATATATTTTCATCGCATCGTCGAATAACTTCGTCAGCGGTTCCTCGTCTAAAGACATTTTAGCACATTCCTCTTTGGACATACTTATTTTCACTTTACTTATGCTACAAATTTTGGTAAATTGCAAATAATTCTTTTCGCCGCAGCCGCAAAACTTGTTTTCTCTGTGAATGATTGCTAGTTTGTCACCGGACACCTGCTGACAACTGACACTGTCAAATAACAATGACACTGACATTTACGTTATGACAGTACATCGTTTTTTTTTCATGTAATGGATGGCAAACGAGCAGATGGACTCTACCTCATGCATTGTGATTTGATTTTGACGACGACAACGAAGTTTTAATAATGCTTTACAAACCTGAAATTGAAAATGGATGTATTTACTTTATTATGTACAATTTCAAAAAATAAAGTGAATAAGTAAGAGATAGCTATGCTTTGACACGAATGGGCCGGTTCAACTGGAATGATACCACGACTTCACAGATTACCTGTTGTATGATACCTGTGAGTTAGGTTACCGGTGGCACAATCCTTCCCCTTACCTAATCCCTGCCAATCCCAAAATCCTCAAAAGGCTGGCAGCACACTTACAACTCCTCTGGTGTAGCGGGTGTCCATGGGCGCCATCAAATCAAATCAAATCGAAAATGGATAAAAAAACATGGTAAAACAATAATCGCACAATCAAAAGGTATGAGAAAAATATACGTCACAAGCACGCGATATGGCACTCGCTCAACATACGCATCAATGGCTTACTATCGAGAAATCCGTCTGCTTGTTTATCGCATCAAATAATAATAATAAAGTATGTCACCTTAGACAAAGCCATAAATTATACAGCTCCTCAGAACTTACAAGTGGCAAGAGACAAGTCCCCTTAACAAAATTGAAGCACAAACGAAGTTAGCACTGTCTAACTAAACTCTAACTCAACCGTCTGGCTGGGTATCGATTAATATCCAATGATCCAAAGCTCATGCGTCGTGCTACCGCCAATGAAATAAATAGTAGGTACTTACATTATACATTATAAACGGGTTTAATTTTAATTAACATCAGGACTAACACTTACTTTACATTTTACTTGTTTTATTCAAGCATCAAAGAAATCCTTAAGATTATGTATTTATTAAATGTGATTGCCTGTTAACGTAATTATAGCAAATACGCAAAATTGAAAAGTGTGGCTCCTCAACTTCTAGTGAAAAAAAACCTTATAAGTACACGATAAGTGTGAAAGTACCCAACAATAATAAGTTATTAACGAATCGTAAGTAAATCACCTGTAAAATAAAACCCGATCTCAAGAATCGGTTATCATTTATTTTCCCTTTTTTGTGCATTTTCGTCGTCTTCCGATAACTTCTCCCCCAAGGCAAAACACAACGCAAGCCGGTCCGTTTCCTGAGAGCATGTGGTATCACTGTAGTCGAGCCGGCCCTTTCTTGCCGAAGCGTGATTCTCCACACTACACCTCAAAATAGGCCTCTACAGCATAGACCTCCTAGGTTTTTATTACCTTACACTGATTGCAAGACATTCAGAACTCTCAGGTTTATTATTCCATGAGCAATAGTATAACTATTCATGTAGGTGTAGGCTCTCCACAAATTTCTATCAATTTTTACGACGATTTTCTTTCTTTCTCACGTCGTCGGTCGGTGAGTTCGAATTGCATGATATCGACGTACATACATGAGCACCGATATGTTGATTAAAGAATCAGAAGGTACGAGTATTGGACAACACTGGCCGGCCAACTGTGTGTAGCAGAGCTGGCCTCATCAGTACCTATGTTCAGTCGAGAGCCGGGGACCGACAAGCGAGCACGTTGTACAGCGTCACAAGTAAGTCATCCTACATATGCACTGCAACGGAAAAATTACTGTGACCTCGGTACATACCGCACGCGCCTTCAGCGACGCCAACATCGCGTATATTCCTGTTTGATCAAACCAGTGTTATCAACTTCCAGTTTAAATTGTTGAAGCTGGTCGATGTAGTTTTTTCGTTTTTGTAAACATCAATGGACCTTTCTGTGGGTAGAGTCTAAGATACGTATTTAGTTTAAGTAATTATTATGTTTACAAGTGAATGGTGAATGTGTTCTAGGATCGGCTTCACTCGTGAGTGCTTAGATTTGCGACAGAAGCCCTTACTCATACGTCATTCAGCGCTACCTTCGATAAGTCATTGTTTTGTTTACTTCATAACGCTGCTGTTCAAAGAGTTTTATGATAAATTGACGGCACTAGCAGCTTTGCTGTATCATAATAATGTAGGCTTTTCGACATTTGTTTAACCGTGTTTTTTTATTGTATTGTACATATAGGTACTGTCTTATATTTATAAATAAGTTTTTTCTTTTTAACAATAGAAGAAATCCCCATTAACGTTATAACGATTGGAACAATACATATTTACTAAACGTTCGTAAACTATCGAGTGTCATATCTGTGGACTGAGATAGAGTAGGTAGCTGTTATATTTAATAATCATTACGGCAGGTTCTAGCCTAACGTCAGTAGTAATAAGTAGTCTTTATAATTACTATAATTTTGAAATATTAATATTATCAGGATCATACTGCGGTGCACCTTATAAGCATGATTACGCAGTCATTGCGTCACATTACCTACACACAGTATCTAACAATGTACCTTTATATTTCCTGAACCTTCACATGGTCACACGATCAATATTAAAAAGCAGTTTCAGGCCAATACTATCCATACAGTTATTATTCATTACTTAAACTTAAACATTAGTGTAGATTACTGCGCAGTTACATTAAATGCTGATCTCATTAAATACTATTACTGCACTGACAATGGGCACTGTAGGTACATTTAATACTAACGTGTTTATTTTTATTAAGTCTAAGTACTACATTACGTCTGAGGATCGAAGCGCGAAGGCATTTCCACTGAATGCTATCTTAGCAAATTGATAAATGATTATACATATTCTTCTTCAGAAGTAAATCATAGAATTTTGTTTGATGATTTGCTGCAGTGTATTAGTGTAGTACTAATATAATGTCAAGTAACTGCCTCGCAGAACTAGTGAAGCGGCTGTCGGTCGCTGGCGTGACTGAGCACCAAGCCTAAATAATTATTGTTTTGTTTGATTTATTACGAAATCTTTAACGATAAGTTCCCCATAGTGGTTGAGCTGGCATCCTATTTCTGCATAAACTAATAACAACTAAACTAGATTCAAGAGTTTTAAAGCTGTCCCAAACAGAACTACTCGAACGGTGTACCCGTTTACACATACTGGGCAATAGTGTACCGCGGCCCCGGCTCGGAGGAGGACAGCTACAGGGGTGGGTGTCTTGGTGTTATAGCCTTCAAAAATACCAAGTAGAAAAATGTCTATCTATGTATTTGGCTCCAAAAGTCCGTGGTTAGTTGGAGCCTCCGCAAAATAGGGAAAACGAGACATGTATTCTTCTCTGCCCGCTCTGTGCACGCTGTTATAGCTGCGGCAAGCTCTCTTTGAGGAGTGACTTGAGAGACGTCATGGCGTCCTCACCTTCCGCCTGACGCAGGTGCTTACCGGGCACGGCAGCTTCGGCAGGTTCCTGTTTCAGATCTGGAGGGAGGAAACGCTCAAGTGTCGCCGTTGTGACGATCACCCAGAGGGCACGGTGGAGCATACGGTGGCAGTCCGCCCTGCTTGGGTTGAGCACCACCGTGTCTTCAGGGAAGTGATCGGCGGCTGCGACCTCTCACGCCCCGACTAAAAGTGCGGAGCAAGAGGAACTGGGACGCCGTCTCCTCTTTCTGTGAAGCAGTTATGCTCGCAAAAAAGGAGTTGGACCGCGTGACCTCCTCCTACCATACTCCGGGCGTCGGGGATCGAGAGATGATCTTCGGCCACCGTAAGCGCGGGTCTGCGGTTTTACTCGCCGCCCGACCCTGGACGGGAGAAGTCATTTGATGATTTTCCCCTCACAAAAAAAGTTTTAGGTACCTATTACAGAAATTTCCATAAAAATGAATTAATCAGGGAGTCGCGGGTTCGACTTCTGCTTGTGTAAAGCACACAAATGGATCAGTCGAGTCAGATCGAGCACGAACCCGCGACTCCTGCCTAGCAGTGTCTGTGGTCTGTCTTTGCCTGCGCAGCACACGTGTATGTGCACATACATACATAAGTAGGTATAGGTGTGTACATGGTAGTTAGTAACATTAGCTACCGGAGTCGGTTTATTGAATTAACTTTGCTAGATTGCCATTATGTATTGTTAGCGGTCACACAGTCAGGCTCGCGTGTCGGGTGATCACGCTGCATGGCTTTACCCTGCTGCTAAGCTATTGTGGCCTCAGCAAGAAAGAGAGAGAAGGAACGGGAGCGTTTTTAGTCAATAAGAGTCTGACACTCCCTCCCGACTCCCGCCTTACCCTGGGTGAGAGAAGTATACTTACTATCTCGTGCGTGTCGTGGTCACTTGCGTAACTTCACGCCACGAGGACTATGTCGAAGGCCGGGTCGAACAGGAGGCGGCCCTGTCATCGATATCAAAAAATGGAACCATTTTGATTAAGTGCACGTATTACTACAAATACAGAAACTAATTTACCTACAACGAAAACAGCGGTATATTTTGTGGATATTGTATTATACTTATGCATGTGACAATAAGTATTAGGGTCATCGATCCATTTATTAAAAGAGCTACCACGGCTAACTAGTGACGTGACCTCACATCATTGTATCGTTTCTGGAAAATTCTGGCGGGAAACGCGTCGCACCGGCTTGGACAGGATGCCGGCTATTACAGTCATTGTCCAGACAATCCTATGCCATGCCTTCACTTACACAATCGTTATATTAATTCCATTAAAAAGCGCCGAGTATCCACGAACAATACGTTAATTACAATCAGAAAACTAAGTGTAGTAGGTGACATCAATTAAATAGGTACCTAATGCTCCACCAACTTAATGAAATATTTTATCTCAATCAATCGAGTGATATCTAACAGATTAGTTGTCATTTCAGCTGAACTTCTCGCACACAGCTACGAACTGGTAATCCGAATATGTTTACATAACGATAACAACTGTTTTACGATCAATAACAGATGGTAAAGATTGTAAACACTGATTCACATGTTGCTCTGACGCGACACACCTCATTATCGTAAGTCGGCTAATCAAGTGTGTCTAACAAACACAATGTTTCAGGCGATGATGGCCACTCGAGTCCAGCATTGAAGTCACCACGTCGTCGCAATGGCACCGGTCGCGGCACTTGCTCTGTCGATGCTCGCTTTCGGCTTCACTGTCGGCTTCAATGGAGACAGCTTCGAACTAGAATGTCCGGATGAATGCGATTGCCACTACTTCAGGATTAACTGGGTGACCGACTGCTCTGAGAGCAACCTCACAGAAATCCCATACGATGAGCTGAGTCTTAGCGTGTACATCTTGGACTTGAACGGAAATAACATTACGGCACTCAAACCCTTCCCCGGAGATATCAAGATGAGAAGACTGCAGATCGCCAACAATCACCTTACAAGGGTTGACAAAGAAGCTTTCAAAGGATTAGAGTACCTGATAGACATCGATCTGTCGGGGAATAACATCAGCTACGTCGACCCTGAAGCCTTTCTGTAAGTAGCTTGTCTAATTAAACAGACCCTGGCAATTACTTTTGTAAACTAATGTTGTGGAACAATGGCGGTATTGTAATTTGTAATTAAATTATAGTGTGCACGGTTGCAATGCCTTCCCCCTAATAAAAAACAATAATGCTACAGTTTTGTTTAAATGGTGGCTGGCGACCATTGACGCTTTATTATGAAATAACATCGTCTTTTAAGCAACAAGAACAAAACTTGACTGAATGATTGCTCGTTTCTAAACCGCTCAGTTTCCTTTGAACTAGTTTTGCCTACTTTGTTTTATACATAGATCATTAGTATCGAGTTGACTATAATCAAAAGTTTAACTAGGTACTAACCGTTTTAAAAATATTGTTTGTACGGTCATTGCATGATCTTAAATCGCGTACTTGCAACGAAACATTAACAGCATCGTCACCAAAGGTCACCAAATGAGTCATGACCGTCACCACGCGCGCATTTGTTTACCTCGCGGACAAAGAGTAATCTTCTCACGGGCGAGTAATGCGAGTATTGTCTGCCGGTTGGCTCTTGACATTCGAACGAGGAACACAATACGTGTTGATGATAAAATTGTTCAAATTGCTCTTAAACTCGTTATGGTACCAGAAGTGAGACCAATTGCTGCTACTTCTGATGCCACTATTGGATAATAGGCACCCAACGATGCAAATTGAATTGGCTAGATCGCCGTTTACATGCTTACAGTTATTGCGAGTGGTGGTGGGGACCCTGTTGTATTTGTCAACGCTCCAATAGATCTGGTGCAACACGCGACATATTATCACATATACATAGTAGCAACTATTAATTACCACTCTACCACTACCACTCTGGAGTTACTTATTGCTATTTAACTTTTTCAGGCACTAGGTATTGAATACCTGTGTATGTAGGTAGTTAATATTTTATCCATTGGTAAAACGTAGCCTTATTTATTTTTCAGTGACGCTCGTGGCCTCCTTAATGTCGAGCTACAAGACAATCCGTTGACTTCTGTTGAAGGACCCTTTTTGGCCTCCTCTACGCTACAATATTTGGACATCAGTTTTTGCAATCTATCCTCAATAAATTCACAATTCTTCGACAATATTACAACATTGACTACGTTAGATCTGTCGGGAAATCCTCTTAAGACCCTGGAAGCGGGCATTTTTGACGTGTTGACCAGCCTGGAAACGCTAAAACTGAATGATTGTAAACTCACTTCTATTTCTGAAAACGCTTTTTCTTCTGCTACTAACATAAAATATTTAGAGCTATCGGGCAACAACTTAATCAATGCTGACTGGCCAGAGATCCTTGGCAAACTGCTGAGACTGGAATACCTGAACTTGAAGAGATCAGGACTGACATCACTGTCGGAAGACACTTTCTCTAATTGCACCAATTTGGTTACACTCATCCTAGCTGACAACGAGCTCCGTGACTTGGATGTCGCAGCCACGTTAGGTAGCAGCGTCACTCATCTAGAATTACTAGATTTCTCCAACTGTAACATACAAGGCCCTGTGTCCGGGGAAACATTCACCAATGCTACCAGGCTGAAAACTTTGTATCTGTCTGGCAACCCACTAGTTGCAGCAGACTTGCAAGCAGCGTTGGAACCGCTAACAAAACTTGAACGATTATTCTTGAGCCACTGTGGCCTTCGCGATTTGCCGGATAACTTTAACGTTTTCGATAACCTACTTGAACTTGACATATCCCATAATCCACTGGAAAACGTTTTCACAAAGTTATTAGCACCACTCGAGAAGTTGGAATACCTCAATATGGGATACAGTAACCTCTCCTATATCGGACCAGACACTTTCGCTAAAATGACATCAATGAAAAGATTAGTACTATCAGGAAACGATCTTCTATCTCTAGAAGCAGGGCTTTTTGGAAATTTGACCCAACTTACTACAATAGAACTAGAGTTTTGTGGCTTAAAACGACCGTTGAACGGATTAGCTTTCTTTAAAAATCTAACCTACACGGACTTACGCGAGATACGCCTTGGTGGAAATCCGTTGGTAATTCCAGCATCAGGGCCAATATTCCCGAAACAATTATCTCAAGTTTCAATCCTGGATCTTAGTAACTGTAATATATCTGCACTGAACGCGGACGCCTTCAAGAACACTGAAAATATAACTGACCTTAACCTTGGTGGAAACCGTATCAGATCTACAGCGGGAAGTTTAGCATTCTTAGAACGACTAAATCACTTGGAAAAGTTAAACCTCGGAAGCAATAACTTGACCACAATAGATCCTGAGGTATTCAGCAACAATCCCAAGTTGCATTCCCTCAACCTCCTGGACAACCCGTTTGTGTGTGACTGTAAGGTCGCAGAGATGTGGGACTGGGCTAATATGATAAAAGGTGATCTAGATGTTCTAGTCGGAGCAAAGAGTGCCGAAAAAGACATCGTAGTCAAAGGGAATAAAAAGAAGAAGAACCTATATTGTCGTTACAACGAAACCCAGCTCCGGAATATGACTATAATGGTGAATAAGACCGTGCCTGGCAGAAGGCCATTCGCCAAACCTAGAGAGTTAACGTTTGCTAATAGAACATGGGCAAAGTATGTGAGGGAGTCAGGGTGTGAACCGGTTGTGAAAATTCTTCGACCGGTCGCTTTAGTCGGCGAACAATATGATTACAGCTATAGTAGTCAAATCTCTACAGGAGTCACGGTGGTAGCCGTCATGGCTTTGAGCTTAGGAGTCGCCACGGTCCTCATGACTATCAAACTATTTAGAAGGAAGAACATAATCGAAGCAGACTCGGAGACAAATAGGAAGGTTAGATAGCAGACGAGTGGCGTCCGCCGGCCAGTGTACCGCCAGCTGCCTCCGATGCTCCTTTGGAAACATAATTATGTTTAACCGATTTTTGTACTCTCGTATGTAGATAAATATGTTCTCTAGAAGTGTTACAGTTTTAGAAATGTTTCGAATTTATATGGTCACTTATTTATTTTATGTTACTAGTCACATAGCTTCGATTGAGGTCATGATTCTCATGCGGTTTGTGAAGTTATTTATTATGAGCTTATACATTAAGTACGTAACAGTGTTTAATTAATAAAAAAATAATTCCAACCTTTTTTTATTACCCCCATACTCTATTTGTGTTCTATTTCATGTCGAATTATAAATATTTTCACATACTTGTTGTAGTCGGCTTGCCTTCCAACCAACCAAGTTTCATTTATTATTTAAAAACTTATCGTTTATTTCCATTAGTTCAATCGTCGAACTAGTGAGTTGCTTTTTCTTTCAATGTCTGCCCCCTTGCTTCCAAGTCAGGATCTGATGATGGAATTGTAGGGAAGTAGAGAGAAATTTGCCAGTGACCCGCCAAGGAGGTACGCCGTATCAGAGATAGTGCGATGCCCGTTGATAATCCGAACTGGCATGACCCTTTGGGACGCAGCCAGCACACGTGCTGCTATTCAAACTTGGCGCCAACATAGGGGCCCAGACGGCCGTTGTAAAGAGGACTAGTCTGTTGTTCATTTGGTGATCAATTTTTTAAATAACTACAATTCTATGAAGGTCTGGATATGACCTAATGATGGAGCACAAAGACAATCGAAAGAACTCCTCAGGAGTCAGGAGTTTACACCAATACCTATGTTCGGGCAAAACTTCAACTATAAATGGATTATCATTGTCATTTAGGTCTAGCGTGTATTTGGGCTTGATTAATTTGTAGATATTGATGAGATTTTAACATTTACCTACATAATTATGCGACTTATAAGTAGTATGAAGGAACTTTATAGCCATGTATTAAACTAAAAAGAAAATAAGTGCGTTTAAAAACCGACTTCAGAAACAAACAATAACAATTCATAATGAGCTAATTGTTTAGAAGTCACTGCCTCAAATCCATAACAAAATGTAACTAAATAGTCACAGGCATAATGGGTAATTTTGTAAAGAGCTTAATGTAAACTCAGATTATTTTGTTTATGAGAATGTATTAAGAACGTATTAAGGTTGTAATGAATACTTCTGTTGGCAACTTGAGGCACCGACAAATGAATAATGAAATACATTTTTGCTTTTATTTATGTACGCATTATGGGCTGAACTCTTTCAGTAAAATATGCATTTTCCTTTGACAGGCAAACATTAGTATTATTACGGTATTGTTGGAAAACCGATTGGTTTCATTTATAAAAGCACTGACTATTTGTGGGCAAAGCAATCTTTTTGTCTATTTCCTCACAAGTAACCGTCTGCAACTTGTCAGCGTATAATCGGGAGTTGCTCAAGAGACGCTCCAAGGTACTGCAGTATGATTTTTTGTTTAATGTTTTCGAAATGTTTCTTTTTTATTTTCAATGAACACATTTTACTAGAACGACCTTCACTCTATTGATCTGATCTTCCCAGGCGGTGCCTCAGTGCCTATTTTCACTGAAAAAATTCTTCAGACTTGAATTCAAATATGTATGGGTTATAAAAATAAAATTACACTTGCACTCTGCTCTTCACAATAAAAAATTTACTCGCGTGTGGAGCCCATCAGCATCGATCGCGTGATCAGTGCAGCGTTGGTTCCGATTGAGGAAACCAATGCAGCATCGGAACACATGGTAACTACCGGATGCGGAAGGAACGAGATTCAGGAATGCATTCATTTATAGGCATCAATTTGGTTTATGATAGTGCAGCTATTTTTCAATTAAATAGGTATATTTCCTAAGTGGGGCTGTCGATATCCTCCAAATCCATTAAACATACGTAATCAAAATCAGACTTTTTGCGTTAGCCACGGTGACTGATTCCATAGTTTGGAGAACAAAATTGTCGTTTTGTTTACCGATGAACAAGATTTGTTGCAAAAACTAGCAGCCGTCACGTAATGTATTGGCTGATAGCGAAAGTTTAATTACGTAATATTAAAGAAATAGATTAAGCTATTGTTGGATACTATTTTTTTATTTGGATCGCAGCTCATTAATCGAATGTAAAATGCGTTTAAATATTTGGACAATTTATTAATTTACTATTAGGCACAACTTAACATAGACAACATAATAAATAAGTCTTATCAGCTAGCTGGCACCCCACCTGCTGTGCTAGTTTTCTTAATGTACCAGTTTTCTTTGTACACTTTCTTCCTCATGCCCGGCTTTTCACTTTCAGGCCTATGCACGCTGGCCATCGCGGCCAACTCGCTGTCAAGGAGCTTTGGTATCGATAACGGTTCGAAACCGTATTGGAATTGTGGCTCTACGAAGTTTGTCTTGGTCTTGTACCTCTGGTAGGGCCGCGATGCAAACGCCGAGTTGTCTCGCGGCGTGCCCTCGGAGTAGTCGTACTCATACAACTGTTGTTTAGGCTTGGGGTGACCGTAATACGACTTTCCTTTTTCTTCATTCTTGGAATGAAAATCGAAAGTAGGTGCAACCGAGTATTGCGCGAATTTCGGTTTCTGTTTCTTTTTGTCGTTGTCGTCTCCATCGGCGACGTAATAATCGGGTTTCTGTTGCTTGTACAACTTGTAATAACCTAACTTGTTCTGGTAGCGATCGAGCAAACTCTCGGGCTTGCTAATTGAATAATCCGTGTAATAACCTTCCTTCATTTTGTCCCTGGAGTCTTTATATCTGGCACGAGCCTCTTTGGGAAACTCGTCGCCTTCTTCCTGATATTGTTGAAATGGCGTATCCTCAATGTTGTACTCGATGTGGTCTGGTGGCACTCCGTAACTTTCGGGATCGAAGATATCTTTTTCTTCCGCTTCTAGTGCTTCCTTGCTGTAGGCCGGAAAACCAAACGCAGCATTTTTGTATGCCTTTTCAAAGTCTTCCTCGTTGTTTTCTTCCCGGTCAAATACTTCTTCCTTCATCTGTTCTCGGTGCATGTGCCTTTCATCCGGAGCTTCATCGTGAATAATAATGCGTTTTGATTTCTCATGGATATGAGCGGCTGGAGCCTTATGTGATTCATGCTGCGGGTTTGAGAAATGGATGTGAGACTGCGGTGATGGCGATGAATGCGATTCCTTCTGCGGGGAAGGAAGGTGATGGCGATTTAAGTCTCCGTGATTGTGATGTGCTTGAGCATTGTGGGATTCAGACTGGGGAGAGGAGTAATGATGATGAGATTGTGGCGGTGGTAGTTGATGCGGCTGTTTCTGCGGGGACGAGTGTTGATGTGTACGCGGCGCCTCGGACTGTTGCTCTCGCTGATGAGCGCGTGCGTGGTGTTCAGATTCCTCGTGAGGGACATGTTGTGTGGGATCCACCTTTATTTGAGCATTGGCGAGCAGACGTATGTCCTCTTCATATTCCTGTACTATGGGGTCAACATTAAAATGTCCCGTATGTTGTACCGGTGCAGTGTTGTATTTTGATGTATCAGCATTCGATCGATGCTCCTGTGATTCATCATTGGTTGACTGGCTTGGCCTGTGGTAGTGACTTTGTTCCTTGTGTGGTGTTTCATCATATTCTTCAGACGATTTAGGATGGTCGTCATAATTGTTTTGATAACCTGGACCACTGTCTTCTGATTGCTGAGCAGAGTCTTCGTGACTATGGGACTCGCTGTTTGGGACGTTTTTGTGGTCATGTGCTTCCTTGTGCAGTTCCTCCGGTTTAAAATTATAAACGAGGGGTGATGGACCTTGAGCCTTGCCATAGTATCGAACTTGGTTGACCTGACCCGGATCTTTAGACGAACGTGAAAAACTATAAGTAACTGGTGCTTTTTCAGATTTAGATCCATAACTATAATGAACTGGTTCAGGCTGGGTCTCCTTGTTGTAACTTATGGCCTTTTCTATGTAAGTCTCCTTATGCCCAGGAGCATTAATTTCATAAACAATTTCGGGAGCATCATCTAGCGTCTCGTGGTGTGTTTTCTTCGGTACATCATTCTTTTTGCTTTGTTTGTGGGAAAGTGTTGGTTTCTTCTCCTTCTTCTTATTTGCACTTTTCTGTGGTTTTTCGTTAACATTTCTGCTGTCATAAGACATAGTCTTTTGAACCACAAATTCTTTTTGATAATTTTTAACACCATCTAAATTTGGCTGTGGCAGTTTTTGGTATGTGGCTTGGTTGATTCTCGGTAAGAAATGTTGTACTTGAGGGACGAGAGGATTCTTAAAAGTCAACGGCTCAAGCAGAGTCAAATCTAGTAGAGGGATAGGTTCACTTTGCACTTTTACAACAGACTTCTTCCCATTGACATCATTGACGTACGTGAACGTCGCCTGCTTTGTGGGCGCAGATTGTATTTGAGCTTTATTGTTATGAACACTGTGAGTATTTCCTCCCTGATGTATTGGACTCTCTTGTACACCCTCAGAGTTATGTTCCTCGGAAGTGTGAGGTTGTTCTTGTAGACGTTGAAATTGTGTATGACCTCGAACTTCCTTGGGTATTTCGTGTATGCGCTGGAACTTTGTTTCACTTGCACTAGCAGGCGATGCCACCTGCTGGTTCTCTGACTTGGGTTTGCCAACAATTATTTGAGATTGTTGCTGTCGTTGAAACTTAGGTTCATCTTTTAAATTAACATATTGCTCGTGTGATTCCGTATTGGAGAAAACCGCTTTATTATTGCTTGATTGTTGTTGGGCTGTTGGAACTTTATAACCATGGCTTTGCAAAATTGAAGATGGCGCCAAACTTTGCACTTTGTCTGCATACACTAAGCGTCCGAAGGTGGGAAATTGATGGAGAGGCGTCGGCGCCGGATTCTGCAGTGGCGCGACTCTGATCGGCGCGCCAAAGAACACTTGCGGCCCTGACTGTTGGAATTGGAAGTTGGGCGAAGCTGCAACTAACGGTTGGGCCAAATGTTCTGGGAGCGTGGGTTGGAGCGACACATATTGTTGCGAGAATGCAGCTTTGTATGGCAGTTGCTGGGGGGATTCAAAGTATCTGTTCCCGTATGAATCCATCAAGTAAGTGTTAATGTTCTGATTCACTGGCTTCTGTTTGACTGCAGCCACTTGCGAGGCGGCTGTCTTCGGTGCGGCGACAAACTGAGGCAGGTGGAACGAGTAGGCCGCGTACGGCGCGGCGCTGGCGTACACTCCGAGGGGAACGTTGCCGTACAGGCGAGGAGCACTTGCTGCACTTACATTGTCTTTCGCTGCGACACTTTTACTGGTTTTATCACTCAAGGCTTGACTTAAAGTCAGCCAGCACATGGCCGCGAATAATGTCTGTGAACGAAAAGAAATAAATATATTAAATATTTATATAATTAAGTACCTATACAATTTTACACAAAGCTATCAATAAGATTTCAGTTATAATTGTTAGTTTATTTTATTAAAACAATTTACCTTTCTCCCCATGTTGGGCGACGTCTTGTCCAGACAGCGGGAGCGGCACTGCAGCGGCGCGGCTCCCTCCGCACGCTTATATTGTAACGTGCGGAGCGCAACCAACCAACAACGCTCGTCTTTTTGCAAATGCCACTCTATTTTCCTCCGACTTAGGCATGGACACCCGTTATATCATTTAAACACTCGATAGTGTCCAATAAAATAAACGAAAATTGTTATTATTCGTTGACTATTTAATCAAAACTGAAAATAACAAACTACTTCCTGTGTCCGGATACGTAACATAATTATAAAGTAACATTACACGAACGTCAACAATAGATTTGGAAGCTGCCCGGTTACGTCAGTCTGCTGTGACTGCGTGATAGATTTGTTGTATTGCCTCTCGTGCGATGGACAGCGACAGTTTCGGAAATGAGCCTACCTATGTAGATGATTGTTAAAGACAATCATTTGTAGGGTACTTACGCCGCAGTAAGGGGAAGTCTCGGCGCTCGGCGCGGACTCATTTTCACGCTCGAGACAGGTGCCATTTGAGTAACACCGAAACGGAATGTCACAACGGATCAAGGATAGACATCCATCAGGTAAATAGGAAAATTATTATCGGTTGTTAACTGAATCAATTATTATTTATCTGCGGCATTGATGCAATTAATCTGTTTTCTCGTACATTGCCGGGAGGAACGTCAGAACGAAGGTATTTACTTTCCTAACCCACTAGCTTTCTTCGCCAGTAAGGTAGATATATAGATAGGTGTATCGTCACGGTCAGCGCGTTAGACGCCTGCCTAGCCTAGGCACTGGAAACCCAGCGAAAGTTCACGTATCGCTGGCACCAGTGGTCATCGGTCATGCGTGAGCTTACCATATCGAATGCACAGTCAACTGATATATTATGAAGTGTAGCGACCAGTCTGTAAAGCCACAGTAATAGTTTGAAACCAGAGTTTTAGGTTGGAAAGTACCTAACATATTTAATTAACATGTCGGATTGGACCTTAATGTTAGAAAAAATAATTAAGTAGTTTTATTGACTCGACGAGCGCTCGTCGAGTCAACATCTCCTGAGGATGACCTGTGGAGGGGCGAAACACGTGTCGAGTATAGGTTCGATTGCGTGGCATGTTTTTACGTTTTTTTTGCATGTGTGCATATGCATCTTACCCTTGCTGCATGTTCATATGCATGATTGCATAGGAGTGGGATGGCAAGTAGTAAGTAACGCCTGATTCTATAAATTATCGGATTGGACCAAGATAACTTTAGTACCTAAGCTTTAGCTGTTTAAGTAGGTACCTTCAGCAATTAGCACCTAGGTGGGCACTTGTTCCTACAATAATTTACAGATCTTGTAAGATCCAAGACGAAAGCAATCATCGTAAGTACCTACCTGTAAATATAAATATACCTAGGTACTTTCCTGTCGGGGCAGCGGCGCAATAATATAATGTATGGCGGCCCCGAAGCCCGAAGCAGAAGGAACGGGATTGTTTTAGTCAGTGAGGGTCTGATACTCCCTCTCGTCCTTCCCAGGGTGGGGAAAGTATTATAATGAGTAACACCCTTGTGGTAGCCAAGGAGTTTGAGTGTCCACTCACCATTAAGCCTTAAGTGGCCGTGCCTAAGCATTAGTGTAATACAAGAATATGATGTTACGATCGGGTATTAGTTACCTTACAGATTGAAATGCAACGATTACGAAGCGAAACCACAAATTGTACAAGCCGCAAGGCAGGTCAGGTCCTACTGTTTCCATATTCTTGTTTTCCATTTTTTCCTAATGACACTACTGCCTAACGACATCATCCCGTAACTAATATAGGTACCTACATATAAGTAGGTTGTGTCTACCTAGGTATATATTATGTCCGTAGCATATAAACAATCTTAGAACCTAGGTAGGTACCTTCTCATAACAAAGGAAGGTGTAGGTACCACTTTGGTGGTTCCGAACCCGCAATGATGAGGCCCGCCACGAGGTGAAGCAACCCGCTTCACCGCCGGGCCTAGAATTGCCTGCGGCCTACAGTGCGGCCGACGTATCTTGGCGAGTCTGAAGTTAGCCGATTAGCTGTGCAGTAGACAATTTTGTTCCTAAAAGATCCATTGCGCAGACAAACGGCTAACTTCAGACTCGCCAAGATACGTCGTCGGCCGCACTGTATGTCTAAAGGGCAGACCTATTATTTGAGTACGGAGGCCCGACCCCGCATGATTCAAAAATCAATAAATGCATGATTGATTACCCGCAACCCCGGAAGGATATACCTAATGGGCTCGAGCAGTGAGTCTAGGGTCTCGATGAGGCATGCACGGAACTCGACGCGCCCTACGCTCAAGACTTCTAAATGTGTTGGCTAAGCGACCATCTCGAGAACAGCTGAACTGACTTCGAAATTATTATTTTGTTGTATTTCATATTGTCAGAAGGTTCTTTTGATAAAACGAGGTACGTTAGGTAGGGTAGGGTAAACTAAAAGTGGTGTAGAGCGGGAGCGAAGCCGCTGGCAAAAGATTTTAGGCAATAAAAAATATTTACGTCTTAAATGCAAAATATATTTGTATCTTGTATTCGCTCCGTGGAGTAATGTTTAGCTTACAGTCAGCCAACTACCTAACTTATATTTGTGTTGTTGTCGGCGTAATTAACTTAATGATTGATTGCAACAAAATAGCTAGTAGGTAGGTACCTTACTGCGCGGCAAACTAGCTTACATAATGCGTACACTTCTGATAGCTGTGTAGGTACCTATTACTGATTGCAATTCGATTTCTGTGCTAATTACAGTCCTAACCTAACGTACCCCACCTACCTGTATCAAACACTTCCATTTGCCGTTTTTGGGAATACGTCTTCAAATGAAAAGCTTCAAATATTATATAAATTATTTAATTTCATATTTAGGTTCATAAAAATAACACAAGTTAAATTATTAATTAAAATAAGGAAAGAAGTCGGTTAATGACTACGCTACGGCTAATACTCGTGCGGAGGGTGCGTGCGATGCGTTTTGTGGGTTCACGGCGGCTCCGACGCAATTTATTTGATTTTTACAAAACCTCGGTACCCGTGACACACGGCGTCGTACCTTGCGTCTGAACCCGCACCCATCCCATAATATGTCAACGTTTCACGAACTCGCTTAGGTGCAAGTTTACAGCATTGGAGTGTGCGTTACTTCTATACAATCGCATAAAGGACTTACCGACCCTAAAACAAGCACTCACGCACTCCGCGACGTAACGCAAGCCGACTATTTCGACGATTTTCATAATTTAAAAATGAATCATTTTCATATTATGCTCCGCCAGTTAAATACGTACATATCTAAACTAGGATAACTGTGTACCGGGAATATTAAATTAGGATAAAGAAATGTCAAACTGCAATAATAATATGTTAGAATCAAACACGTTTTATATTTGTTTATTTATCAACAGAAAATGTCCTAAGGTTTAGCACCATAATATCGCGATATTGAAATTGTCCAGTAGTAGAAAAATATACATTTTATAGTAAAAGATAACAAGGAAATTTGAATGTACAAAAGTTTTGTTGCCTCTACAGACGCGAACTTGATGAAAGAGATTCTTAAACAAACATTAATGCTGGCTTGACGCGTCAGCCAACATTCTCTGATATTTCTATTGAATGTCGTTTGACTTACAAAATGTTCTATCCTTTTTGTACCAACGTATTTGGTTTTGCTAGACAGTATTATGACTACTTCTAACTACTATATTTTTGTATCGTTCCAAAAATGCTGCATGGAAAATCCTTATGCGTGACTATACATGCATAAGGATATTTCCCCAGAGTAAGTATATCAACAATCATAATCAAATTAGTCAATAACTGAGAGAATTAATATTGAATTGTCGCCCACTAACTTTCGTCATTAAAATACTAGATACACAATCCGGCACAAAAATAAGCTTAAAAGTGACCTCCAATGTAGTATTTGTAGAATGCTAGTCTAAACAAACGACTATATCTAATATCCATTCATAACTGTATTCACCAGCAGGAGCAGCAATGGCGCAGTGTTGCACGTCGCGACACTCTGCTCGACTTGCGTTTGCACCAAAGCAAGAGTCCCATTCAATATACAATATTTGTGCACAAATGTGTAATTTCCTCGGGCAACCAAATATTATAAAACCATAAAATGGTTAAAAATAATCACACCCCATACCTATGTATGCTATGTATACATATACCTATATATGTACCTGCACGGTACCTATACATAATATTGGAATTTTATGACATAATCCAACAAAAATATGTATGCTATTTGACGTATAATAAATTCAGACACCACAACGAGCTGTCACACAAAGCTCATGGAAAGCTGTCGTTACTTCTACTATTCATTTAAGAAATCACGTAGTAAATGGAGGACCAGCAGCGGTCTAATAGTATTACTCGCCTTGACTAGCCTAGTACAGATTTTCTTTCATTACGTTCGGTAATGATCAACTAATTGATCAAAATGAAACAGTTATTCAGTTATTTTACTTTCTCAAAAACTTATACGTATTAAGATTTGGACAAAAACGGAAGGATTTGCAGCTATAAGAATTAAATGACTGGTACACAGATGTACTTTTTCGAGACTGACTAATAATTACTGTAGTTGAAAGTGTACATGTGACTTGGATTATTATTATATAGCTCTGTTAGGTACCTTTGTTGTTGCGCCATTAAATTTACGCCAGACTTGTGTATTTAGTAATATGCAATTATTTATTACAGTACCTACCTACTAAGTAGTACTTTCCTGTATTTACCCATTAACATGATAATATTTGTTTTTTATTTCAATTATTAATTAAGAGCACAAACTTTGCTTGCCCACACCCAAGTGGCCAGGTTATTTGGGTTTTTCCTGATTGTGTATCTTGTTGTTATAATGATCAAAGTTCACTAAAAAAATAAAGTAACTTATAAGTCAAAATGATTATATGATAAGTCAAGGTTTACTATAAGTAAATGCGTAAGAAAGTGATATTAGAATATATGTATACACAACTATTGCGGCTGTTGTCTGAGAGCACGGCATGGCTCCATGCCACCCTAAGTGCTCTTTAAACTCACACAAGTCAACACAAGTAGGACTAACCACTGTCTGTACAACAATTAATTACATTATCGCAGGATGACGGGCGAGTGCGCCTCACGGCCGAATATTAATCACGTAAATATATCGTTCATGCACTGCAGTCACAGAATGTTACGTCAGCCAAACAATCACCTCCACATTTATCTCTCAGATCAAACACCCAGTCTATTGAAAACATTCTTCGTTATTGTCAAGTTATTTGTATTCTTGTGGCCTAACCTAGCTTTAATTCCATTGCTGGCTATGGGTGGCATTGACAGTCTCCTTTCAGGTTTATTAAACACTGGTGTAAACTTCTGCACAGGATTCTGCACAGGATTCTGCACTGCTTTCTGATGGAGCTGAACGGAATCTATTTCTTTATACTGGATTTGGTTCGAGAACTTTACTGATTTGGGTTTGGCCAGTTTAGTTTTCACACTAACTGGAGCCTCATCAGCCCTCATAGTACCAACCGCTATTTTCCTAACGTTATTCTTGGATGTAGTGACTGTAAAAACCTTTTTAGAGACATCAACTGTACTCTTGAGAATGCCAGCATACTTTAGCGCGTCCTTTTCTATCGGTATAGCTTGATCGTCCTCTTCCTTGTCGGCTTTCGAGCCAAGGCGAGCATAAATTGGCTTCACTGAGGCCTTTGTGGTGACTGGCGATACTTTCCCCGATTCAGAGTTGCCGAGTCGAGCGAAAACTGTTTTAGAAGAACCTGAAAAAAGATGAGCACTTGTGTTAAATTAAAAATATATTTGTATGAATGTATACGATGTCTCAACTCTGACACAAATCAACTAGATTTCAATAACAATAGTATTAAATAAACACACTACCTTCTTTGACTACTGTTTGCTGCGCAGGAGCGAAGCGTATCAGCCGCGACTTTTTCAAATTGATGTCGTCAGTCCTGTTAGGCAGTAAGTAATAGTCAACACATGAACGTAAAAACAAAATGTAACATTAACTAGTTCCAATGAAAAATAGACCTTACCCAATGTCCAGAGCTTTTCTTTTGAGTTGAGAAATGGGAGGTGCCTCCTGCACTTGTGGATTGCGCGTGTAGTGCTCCAATATGCGGCTGGCCGCTGTATAACCAAATTATTGCATTAAATACAGGCATTTTTAAACAAATTAATAAGTTAAATGTTAAGTTAAAATTCATTCCATATATAAAATAGCAAGTTTATATTATCAATAATCATCCCTTTCTATCAAGTCAATGTTATACCCGCGGATTCGCCCTCGATATAGTGATAAAAATCAAGCTATAACACATCAAGTATAAATAAAATTAGGTCTCATTTCCCCAATTGATAAAACCCCTATTACTAAGTCCCTGCTGTCCGTCTGTCCATAGATAAAAGTATCGAATTCAAATACACCATATTGTAAAAACTTAGTAACACCATTTTTCTTTGTTATATGTATATAAGACCATTTGATGTTATTGTACCTAGATTTACAAAATAACGGATTTGCCAGCCGTTTTTATGTGAAATAATAACAAACATACATCCATACATTCTCACAAACATTTGTATTTATGCTATGTTTATGTATTTTATATTTATATACAGGGTGTAAAAAGACACTTAACGAAGCCGTTAACTACGCATACTGCAGTTCTAACTTAGTAGCTTTACGCTAAAATTATCACTGGGAAACGACTTTTATTTTTAGGTATCAAAAAAAATAATAATTGTATTGCGCGCAATGTAAAGCAAACGGGTGTCATTGTGTGCGTAGGTTCACAGCTTAGCATTAAAACGCTGTGATAAGTACGTAGGTCGACGTTTTACTTCGCAACAACAAAACAATTCTGTAAAATAAAAATCCTACTGAGATGCACGATGTTTTTTGTGCGGGTCTGCATTTATTTATTACGTACTGTTGTTACTGTTCGTAACTTCAAATGCGTAATTTATTTAGAAAAATCGAAAATTCAGGTAATGGTAGATAGAATTCGATTGCACAAAAAAAATAGTTTAAAAATGCATCTTTGACCTTCGATATCTCGAGAACCCGTGGAGTCCCAGCTATGGTCTTAAAGAAAAAAATGATTCAAATAATGGGTAGAATACGTGGCTTCCGGCTTCGTTAAGTGTCTTTTTAAACCCTGTATTCTTTATGTATTTATTTGTTTATTTAAGAAACTATATAATATAAAATGACAATATATATTTTATTCATAAATAAGTAGGATAGGATAATGTCAATATGGTAGAATAAGAATAAGAATAAATAAGAATAAGAACATGTACAAACGTGAGGATGGCTGTGATGACACAGTTGCTCGGCCAGTGACAGCAGCAACGGGTACTTTGGGGGGCGCAGCAGAACTGAGGACGCGGTCCCGGGCTGTATTCTCATGTACTTGTTTGGCATGCCTGCAACAACAAATGCTTGCTTCAACACTTGCAAATTAATAAAACTTATCTTTGTCCTAATAAATATTAAAGTTCACACAATTATACCTACAAATACATGAAACACCTCGAATATAAATCAAATCAATCCTCCTTAGATCTCTAATAGCCCACAAGAGGCCGGCAAACACCTTTGGTACTCCTAATGGTCATAGGCAAATGGGCAACATTGATTGCATGACACAAAAAGCTCAAGTTCTCCAAGCATAGTTCTGGCATAGAATGTTTTATTATATTTTAGAGCAGCCTGGTGCAGACAGATGTGGGTAAGCTAAGATCAGTCTGGCTACACAACACAACTATTTACTACTTATATATTATTTAATTAGGCAGGCAGTTGACACACCTGATGTTCATATAATCTGTTTCATATTTATCAACTGTTGGTTTACAGATGTTACCTAACAAGTCAATTCTTGAATTGATTACCTTTTTGTGCTGTACTTACATCTTCCGATAGTTAGACCACACAAATGATAAAAAAGTGTCTATTATATTAGTTTTTTAAGATAGTATTCAGTGTCATGTTAAAGAAATACAATACAATGAGTACTAACCTCAAGATGGCAATAACATCTCCCATTCTTGTAATCCCCATGTCTCGTAAGTACTCCTTGTTGAGGTCCAAGAGCATGTCATTCTGGATGCGGTTCTCGGTGAAAGTCAGTGCGTAAGTAGCAGAAACGTCGGACGGAATACCAGCCGCCGTGAAGAAGTTCACCCACATACCTGTTACAATACACGTTGAGAATCAAATGTCTACGTTTAACGGGTGGAAGAACAGGTAGACTGAATACATATAGTTTTTAAAGCTAAAAGAAAAGTTTTGGTCCCAAAACAGAAGAGTTGTTTGAAAGATTAACTAATTACTTACAATTTTTATTCTTAATTTTTGCGATTACTGTTTTACTTCGTATTATTTTCCTACCAAGCACTAAATAATTTGATAAAGATTTCAGTTGATATTGTACACGTTAATGAGTAAAATCGCATTTCTAATATTTTTGTTGTAGTTCTTCATCTTTATTATTGTTACGTGACTACTAAACCCGAAACTATAGGAACTTGGTAAAACGCGAGAAGCGAAGCGATAAACTGGAACAAATAGGATCTTCGTGGTATTTTTTACTCATCTGGATCCATACCATAGAAAATATAGGAATAACCTTGGAGTATTTTATTTTTGGAACAGTACGTTTGATGTTGAAGTAAATTTACTAAACAGTACTTACTAGTTAAGTTGGAGTCCATTTTCGTCGCAATCGCCGCACACATATTAAATGTAATCGAAATTAATTTCACTTTTAATTTATTTTTATATTATTTTGTAACGCATTCTACACCAATTCTACACACAGGTTATTACAATACAACAACCACAGATAACCAAAGCAGATGACAGATAACTATATACTGGTCAGAGACAACAATTCAATTAAAGACCACAGTTTATATTAGACAAAGACTATAGACCACAGGCTACTTTTTACAAGTTTCTATACAACTCGCGAGCGAAGCCGTGGGCGGTACCTATCTAACAAAATAACTATATTACTATAGGTTCTATTAAGTTAGTTTTTGAAATCTGATCCAACAGACAAACTGTGTATACAGTTTTGTTGGACATTTTATACTTTTTATAATGTAAAATGTACCTTTTAAGCAATAATAAATAAAATAATAATAAACTCTACTCTCGGCTTTCGACAAAAACATTCTCCTTATTGTCATGCATGATGCTAGATATAGCAAATTTTTAAAGGTGTACAACTATAAAATTACTAACAAAAAACTCTTACTATGACTGCAGACTGACATAGTATCGAAAAATTCGAGAAAAAAAAATTCATTCAGTTGTCTTTGGCCTTTAACCTCATCTTCTTTAGTCTGGATTGGAATCTCTATGACATTTGGTCTGTCACTAAATTAGTGTCAGTCGTAAGAAAAATAAAAAAAATCTTTTCAATCAATTAACAGATTATCACCATACTTGATTAACTTGATGGATTAATTAAAGTGTAATGCTTGGAATCATCAGATCTAAAGCCAGTAATTTGTTTTCATCGCCCAATTTAAAAATTGTTCAGACAGGTATATCTTACGCTTCTGTTTCTTACACTTAGTCATATTAAATTCAAATAGTGTAATGAATTTTTGTTTTTAGTCTCAAGCAAGGGCTGTCTTAGAAAAATGTCAACAGCATTAGAAGCGTTACCTAAAGTGGACATAGATCCTACTGGAGTATTCAAATACATATTGTTAAACGTATACGATAAAACCAAAGTTAATGTGGAACCAGTAGTTATTGTTCGCGGCTATAAGCGGTGCAATTACCATTCTGATATTTATGATGAGGTGAGAATAAGTTAAGCCTTAAATGCATACATACATACATACATAACAAAATTCCTAAAGAGATTAGAGAGCTACCTAAAGCAAGATGAAAAGAAGTTAAAAGCTTGGCATATAGAAAAGTGCTACTATACAATAGAGGAGTATATTAATTGTAGAAAATAGATCAGGGTCAGTGGCTCATCTTAGGGGCGGGTTCAGTACCTACTTAGTATAAGTTTAAACATTCATTTATGTTATTAATTTTCGCATGCCTACTGAAGGCGAGATATGTTATTATGTTTTAACTTTTGTATTTACCATGTCTCTGTGAATAAAGGTTTTTAATTTTTAAGAACAGAGCTCATGTTGCAATACTTTTGGTCAGTGGGTTGGAGGTTTTTAATGTTATTGTTGGGTTTTATCGGTAAGAAAGTTAGTTTGTATGGCTGGGCGTCATTTTCGTCTCCAGGTACATATAATAATGTTTGTAAGTGAACCCATGATGCAGGAGAAAAGAACTGTATGGAACACAACATATTGATAGAAAATATTTTTTTGATTTGCTCACACTATAAACTGAGTATTATTAAATAAATATATTAGAAAAATTTATCCCAACTGTCAGTACTAATGCTAAAGAAAGTTATTTTGTTTGTTTGATGCCTTCTTATACATCATTCACATTAGGTTTAATCAACCATTCCTAGGTTTTATGTATGCAAAATTGTACAATATCGCCAACATATCTTGGCGAGTCTGAAGATAGCAGATTAACTGCGCAGTACACAATTTTGTTCCTAAAAAATCCAGAGAGAAACGGCTAACTTCAGACTTGCCAAGATACATCGGCCTTACTGTAGGAGTTATGAGAGTTTTGCCAACCTTTTGTGGATGAGGATTTGGGAGACTTCGGGATTGGTCCAGTAGATTTATATCTCACATGGTGAAACACAGTGTAGTGGTTGTTTCATGCTGGTTTTAGGTGAGGTTGTGTTGTCAGTCTGGTCGAGCTGACTAATTTGTGTTCAGGCATGGCTTTCCCCAAATCATTACCTAATAATATCTATTTGTCATATTAGAACTTATCTAAATTATTTCAGGTCCAAGATAGACTACAACCCTTAGACTGTGAACCTCTTGGAGGAGGTAGAATATCTCATGATCCTGAAAATAAAAAGATACATATTTATGGTTATTCCCAAGGCTATGGCAAAGCAGACCATGAAATTACAGCTAAATTAATCAAGAAAGCATATCCTGGCTACAGCATCACAGTCAGTGATGAAGGATACTAAAGTTTATATTATTTCATTATTTTCTTTTCTAAATTTGTACCCATAGAATAAATGAGTTAAAACATTCCTTGAGTTTGTTTGCCCTATCAACTACTGAGGCTCTTTAATGTGTTGTTCGCACGACGCACGGTAACAACGAGCCCAGTCTCACTGTTTTCATATCCAATCCTGTGATTTTCTGTCTAAGGCTAAGGACTCACGGAGCGACTTTGAACCGTGCCCGCCGCGGTAGCGGAACTGCGGTTTTATTTCCAAACTCACGAGACCGGTTATTTGCGCGGTTACACAGCCGCCGCGGTTGCGGTCATCGCCCGCCACGTTTGCGGGCGCAAGATTGCAAAACGGGCGGTTAACGATCAGTTGAGGTCCAGACCGCCATGGACACACACCAGAAACGAGCCGTTGCGTTATATTTACTTCACAGAAGACCCGCCGGCCCCCGCGGTGGCTCGCTAACCGATCGCAAAGCGCGCGGGTGCCACCCGCCGAGGCTGCGGGTAACCGCGGCCCGCGCGATTCTACTAGTTGCCCGCCGGTACAGCGGGAGCCGCATACAACCGCATACACCGCGGGCGTAAATCGCGTCGTGAAATGTGCTTTAATTTTTTATATAAATATTTGAATTCTACAGAAGCTGCGGGCCCGCAACCGCAGCGGACGCGGGTGAAAATCGCTCCGTGAGTTCTTAGCCTTACGTTCTAAACGCAGAAATGTATATTCGCTTATGCACTCTCAATTTTTTAAAATGGGAGTGTCCTGGCGCTGCACGCCATCTTAATAATCTCCGGCCACTGCAAGCGCAGGTCTACGGATGGCAAGAGTAGGGTAGCTTGCCGCCACACTAGAACCAGACCCGAGCTTGCGGTGTGCAGCATTAAGCGCGCGTCTCATAGATGCAATAAACCACCGCAGATGGGGTCCATCAGGGCCGATTTTCAGCCGGCGTTGCCGGGCAAGTGCGATGACGTACTGTGGCCTCGGCCGAGAGAGAAATATGGTTTGATACTCCCTCTCGCCTCATGCAGGGCAGGAGAAGTACCGTAAAACGTAATGGATAGAATTTGAGGGTAGAATAGATGTTGGCGAATTTTCCAAGTACCTATTTACCCCTCTTATGTGTTTATTTACCCCCGAATTGTATTCACCCCATTTCACCGAAGATTACCATGCCCTCAAAAAAAGGGTGAAGTTACTTGTTGATTCACATACCACTAAAAAAAATTATGAAATAAAAGTCGACCAATACCAATGACGTATTATATAATCATTGACCAATACCGCCAACGTATCTTGGCGAGGGGATTAGCTGCGCAGTACACAATTTTGTTCCTAAAAGATCCATTGCGCAAACAAACGGCTAACTTCAGACTCGCCAAGATACGTCGGTCGTACTTGTACAACTTAAAATATTTTAAACTTACTTTCATTAAAATATTTTAATGTAAAATGGAATGTATTTTACAAAATTATTCAGTATTAGCATTGAGATAGAAAATATATTCCTATGTCAATGAGTATTAGTGACAGATTGACAAGATGTCATTGTCAATTAATAATTTTGATCTGGCCAGTCCATTCACTAATATTCACCCTTATTCTTATTCACCATTCCTTGATTCGGTGATGTTGTTGGAAAACTTGAAGTGAGAAAAGTAATAGGTAATTGAAATTTTAAAACAATGGCCAACTTTACTACGGACGGTAAATTGTGTATAGAACGGCAACTAGAAGTGAACACTTCTGTAAAAGAATTCGATGATTTAATAACTCTTTTTGATATAAACGAAACATGCCGATGGATAACTGAAAATAATTTCTTAAAGGTAAACATTGATTTCTCACTTCTAAATAATCTAAACATTGTTTATGACATCCATTATTGTATCGACATATATGACTTCGAACAGGTTTGCCTTCAATTTCCCGACGAACTTCTTGGTGTGAGTACTAAAGTTTATGAAGAAATAAGGAAGAAAGTGGATGTTGACTTGTACATTCTTGGTGACACATCATATGCAAGGTAAGTGAGAGAAGAGCCATAAAAAATATCATTCTTCAAAATTTGTAGTGTATACAACAGATTGATAATTGTAGGGTAATCAGAAATCTCCAGTATATTTTGGCTCTTTTAATTTTATATGAACCTACCGATGTGTATTTTCAGTTGCTGTGTGGACTCAGTGGCAGCAATGCATGTACAGGGGGATGCCATAGTCCACTATGGGCACAGTTGTTTCTCCAAAACCAACATTCCTGTGTTCACTGTGCTGCCCAAACACAGTGTGAATGTGGAAGCTACTATCAAAGCACTGGGAGAGACCTTTCATGCAGATGTCAGACTTTGCTTGTTCTACGATGTTGGATTCAACCATTGCAAAGGTATGCAAGATATTGAATAAAGAGTAGAGTAGATATCTGGTAGTCTTATTATCTATTTTTTATTTAAAAATGACTAATAGTCACTTAAGACCACATAGTTAAAAGACATGAACTCTATGCATGCCAGTAGTCTGTCATATCATTAGAGGTGACAGTAGTAAATAAGATACAAAAACTCCACCACAAACAAATATACACTACTGGTAATCAGCTGGCTTTACATAGCAAAAAATATGATATCTTCTCATTCATCTCAATAGCTTTCTTTATTCTGAATTATCGTCATCTGATGAGTGGTTAAAGCATAATCCAGAACAAGGAAAGATTCCTTTCTTGGCAGAAGAAAACTTGCACCATTCCTACATGTCACAGTATCAGTGTACTTAACACAATTCAGTTGGTAAAGAAAGAAGAGAGAGAGGCACAGACTTTCACATTTTATTAAGTTTAATCATTTATTTCAAATGGCCCACTACAGACAATTATGAATGTCAAACAAAAAAAAATATAGGTTTAACTTGAGTGTCAATCTATCCAATAGTGAAGCAATTTGTTCATTCCATAGCATAGATTCCTATGAAGAACAAGCAAGACAATTACAATGTTAGTAAGTATATGTACTTAAATTCATATTAAAATTTCTCCAGATTTAATATCAAAGCACTGGTTTGAATGTTACCCTCTAAGCTACATATCTTTTGTTGAGATAGAGGAGAAACCGAATAAGTATCTTGGAAGAGTAATTAGGAACAAAGATGGTGAAGAATTTGCAGTGGAGGTACTGAAGGATTGCATGTGTATACATCTTGGAACACGAGGACAAACATTGTTCAACTACACCATATCTATAGCAGGTACTCTTTACTACTTACTTGTGCATTTTAAATACAGATCTGTTCCCATGTAAACTTTGAAGTCCTTTTACTTGATAGTTGTGGTTTTCCTAAATGTGTATTTTTAACTCCACAGCTTCTGCATGGTATTTGCTGGATCCTAACACAAACAAGCTTGAGAGTTTAGAAGAAACTGCTTGGTTCAAGCGCAGAAGATTCTTAGTAGAGAAGTGCAAGGATGCCAATGTTGTGGGCATTCTAGTTTGTAAGCTGGCTGGTGAGCAGACCAAAGAAATTATCAGCAGAATGAAGCAGCTCTGTAAAGTGAATGGCAAGAAGAGCTACATTGTATCTGTGGGAAAGCCCAATGTTCCCAAGTTGGCTAACTTTCCAGAAGTAAGTCTGTGCCTTTTATTATGTTTCACTTAAACTATCACACAGTGGTGTGACTGCTGAGCAAAGATATAAGATTCTAGGATATAGATATAGAGCTTTGGGATTATGCTTGATGTCTTTTAATGAGCTGTTTTTGTGCTGCTAGCACATTTGCAAAAATAAGCAAATGGTTTCGTTAGATAGCACTTATAACTTATGAAAAAGTTAACAATTTTAATTGTTAACTTTTTCTACCGTTTTGATTATAAAATAGAACTACTCTGTCCATTGTTTTGATTATAAAATAGAATAACATGATTATTTTTTATTACAGATAGATATTTATGTCATGATTGCATGCCCAGAAAATGATCTATACAGTGCTAGAGATTTCTACAAACCAATTGTGTACCCTTATGAACTAGAAGTGGCTCTGAACTCAAACAGAGAACCTTATTTCATAACACATGTTACGGATTATGAACAATTACTGCCAGGGCGACCCCACCACTGTGATATTAACCACATCCAGGAGACCACAGATGTAAGTCTCATTACAGGAAAGATAAGGGAAACTAAAGTTGATACTCATGATGGGAGCAGTACTGATCTGGCAGAAAAACAGAACTGGGCCCTAGAAAGTATAGGACAAAACCTCCAAGATAGGTCCTGGAAGGGTCTAGAACAAAAACTAGGAGAAACAGAAGTGAAAATGGCTGAAGAAGGTCGCAAGGGTATACCCATCCAATACAGTGATGAACCAAAATGAATTTAGAAATTTATATTTTGTATTTACAATACCTTTGTTATTCTAGCACAAATGCTTATCCTACTAAGTAAGACTGCATTTTACAAATATAAATAAGTAATCATTGGAAAAAAATTGTTTCATTTACATTAGAACACCTTCTGCTGGCTATTGTACAATTTAAAAATATGGAATACATGTGTACAGAAAATGTTTACCTATGCAGAGTTGTACTACTGAAGCAAAATCAAGAACTTGAACTATATTTTCATACTATGCCATCAATCATTTGTAGAGCAAATAATTATTGACAATGAACAGGTGATCCTTTATAGTCACTATTTCACACTTTCATGTTTAATGGGTTCTGGGGTGACTTGAGCCATTCTTTCCTCAGCATCTGTTTGAGTTGAGACAGTCTCAGTGTTGGGTTCTCAGCCTTTAGGATTGGTAAGTTAGCTTCTTCAAATGCTGTGTATGCAGCCTTAAGACGTTTTTCGGGATGCCTATCAGTATCTGACTTTTCCCTGGAACATTTATAACTATGGTTATAATTTTACCAATTCAATACAAAAAATAAACAATATATAATAATACACAAAACCAGTGCCCATCTGGGTAATGTTTACACAATTCAGCCATTAGAGGGTCATGTGCATACAAAAACAAACAAATTAACAATTCATCATTATCAATGAAAGATTAGAAATGACAAAGTATCCAACATTAAGTGCACAATACATTACATGTAGTACATACCCAAGTATAGAAATAGCTTCATCAACGGTCTGGGCCACTTCTCCATCCAAATGGATCCTGTTGAGATTCTCCTCAAGTGGAGGCTCTTCCACAACTACTTTTGATGGCTGGAATAATCAAGTATGGTTAATAAACAATTTTGGTTCTTCATATCAAAGCACAGAAAACATGTCAGTATTTCTTACCACTGGTTTAACAGGCTCTGCCTTGATAGTTTTCTCTTTCATCCTTTCAATCTGTGCTCTTGTGATCTTGGGAGGTGGAGGAACAGCCTTTGGAGCTGCCTTGATGGATTGCATCTCTTTCTCCAACAGAGCCTTTGCTTCTGCTTTTTTCTGTAGCTGTTCTAAACGTTTCTTCTCTTGTTCCTCCTGATAAACAAATACTGCTTTTGATTTCATTATCAAATCAAACTTATCTAATAAATAATACAAATATGTTTGTCTCATTTCCACATTTTTACTACTCAATATCAGATAACATTAAAAAATTGGATGTAATGCAAAAAGGATCCAACCCTCAAAGCAGCACTTTTAGGATACCTATTGACTTTTAATGTTTAAATGGTCTTTGCTCATTGATATTTTAGTTTGTGATTTTGTTTTGTTGATTTGGAAATCGATTTATTTAAGTAATGATGGATTGGATTCAGTTTAAGTCAAATTGTTGACTGATTTCATTTTAGTATAATTTATTTATAGAGATTCAAACAGCTTGAATCGTTTTCGCGGAATTTAAGCAAAACTCAGTCATAGATGTTAGATTTGGTCCCATAATAAAAAATTCAAATTACCATATTTTGCATTCGGTGTTTTTACGAATGCAAAATATTGACCTTAAAGATTAATTTCGCATATTCAGGTCATTTTTGACCAAACTGTGGGTTGGATCATTTTTTGCGTAACTACGTCCAATTACCAGTAATAGTCTGTACCTTTTTCTGTTGTTTCTTCTTAAGTTTCTCATCGTTATCCTCCCATTCCGCATCTTCCATCATTTTTTTCATCTTTTGTTCCTTCTCTTGTTTTTCATTTTCCTTTCGTTGCCGTGCAGCGACAGCTTTGCTATTTTCACCAGCGAATTTCTTCGGCATTTTTGACAGTGATCGTTTTCACTCCAACCGTTCGTAAGTATACAAGATAAAACTCAATAGCGACAGGCACTTTTGATTTCATGAAATCATGGACGATATATCATATAACTTTTATAAAAACATGAAATACCTAAATAATATTTTCATGAAAACTGTTATCACACAACAGAGAACTTGGTTATAGTACTAGTAGGTACCATAATTTAGTATTTCATGCCTTACCTGTCTATATGGATAACAAAATGACAGAAGTTGACAGAACATGAGATGATGTTATTAGGGTACCTATGTCAAAGTCAAGGTACTTTTGAAACGTCAAAATAGAATAGTAAGTAGTCTGTCAGTCTGTTCGTCAGTAAAGCTATATAGGTGCTCGTTCCAAATTTTATATTCGAATGGAGAAAAACGAGACAGAAATTCCATCGCAATTCTTTGAAAAAAAAAGATTGTTTTACGGGTTCAGTAATACAATATTAAGTAGGTACCCATTATTGTATCCAAATGTGAAATTTTAACAATAACGAATATTGATCCCATATATGGATGAAATAAAAGACATTCCGTCTTTAATTTTGTTGATCTATGGGACAATGATCAATGACCAATACCTATACAGAATCGGTTTTTTTCATTGACATAGGAAATATAAGGACTTGAAATACCTACGAAACAAAGGTGCATACCTACAATCCAAAATTTCGCATAAGATGGCTGCCGTTGCTAGGGTTGTGCCGACTAAGTATTTAACGAGTATCGATACAATTTGAGTATAAGTTCTACGTAGGTATAGATTTAGTGATTAGCCAGCTGATTAACGGTATTTTTTTATGGGAAATCATCTATTGTCATCTCCGGCCCTTTTCGTGACAGACCGTTACTGACTAAAATCAACTCCTGTTCCTACTTTGCCGTCGGCCTAGCTAGAGCCCGGAACCCGGGATTACCTAGGTCTCTTGATTGGCTAATGATTTTCTCAAGTCGAATTTGTATTCATATAATACTACGGAAAGCGTCTTTTAAATAAAATAGGACTGTTTTTATGAACAGCGTTGGCGAATGGTGAAATAGAAAAAGATAGTTTTTGGTAAATGTTTATCCGCCGAAATATGGGGCCCCTTAATTGCGTATGTGCAACACCTGTCGGAATTTGTGATGTGCTCGCGCACAATTTCAACTCGTCTGATTAAGCGATGATATCTTCGAAACTACGTTAGCACAAAATAGATAAGTAGTGAAGTCAATCTTACTGTATGTATCTCACTTTTTATTATTAAGCTTGGTGGTCGCACTGGGATCGCCGCCAACGCCGCTCTGTCAATCGCGCCCGGATAATAATAAAACATAATAATTTGAACTTCTACTTATGTAACTAAAAATAATACCAAAATACTGACGTCTTACTTTAGCCTTACACAAAACTAAGGAAACATCCATTGCTAAAATAGATTATTTAGGATAATGTATTATGTCGTTCCAGTAAATTACAAAGAACCATTTTTTTAAACTTCAAATATATAGTGAAACAAAAAACAATATGCCTGCGTGTTGTATTGTGCCGTGTGGTGCAAAAAATAACGAAAATCAACCTCAATTGTCTTTGCATAATTATGTTAGTAAACAGTTTTCATCAAATATTACTTAGAATAATTCACATAGACAGTTTTAGTAAAAAAAAATTGTTTACAATAATATGTCAATATGGCATAGTTACGTACCATTCCGCAAAAGTATCGATATAATCTCCAATTTAAAATTCAACGTATATTATCCTAAATAATCTATTTTAACAAAGGATGTTTCCTCAGTTTTGTGTAAAGTAAGACGTCAGTATTTTGGTATTGGTTTTAGTTACTTATGTAGAAGTTCAAATTATCATATTTTATAATTATCCAGGCGCGATTGACAGAGCGGCGTTGGCGGCGATCCCAGTGCGACCACCAAGCGTAATAATAAAAAGTGAGATACATACAATAAGATTGACTTCTCTACCTCTACTTATCTATTTTGTGCTAATGAAGTTTCGAAGATATCATCGCTTGATCAGACGCGCCGAAATTGTGCGCGAACACTTCACAAATTCCCACAGGTTTTGCACATACGCAATTAAGGGGCCCCTTATTTCGGCGGATAAACATTTAACAAACACTATCTTTTTCTATTTCACCATTCCATTAAACGCTGTTCATAAACACAGTCCTATTTTAAAAGACGCTTTACGTAGAATGATATGTATACAAATTCGGCTTGAGAAAATCATTAGCCAATCAAGAGACCAAGGTAACCCCGGTTTCCGGGCTCTAGCTAGGTACATAGCTAACTAAATACTAAGTCGGCACAACCCTAGCAACGGCAGCCGTCTTATGCGAAATTTCGGATTGTAGGTATGCACCTTGTTTTCGTAGGTAGTTCAAGTCCTTCGAAAAATGTCAAAAACGACACTTTTCTATGAAATTTGAATGAAAAACTGAGTTATGACGTCATAGTATTTTTGCGTCAGATAGCGTAAAATATTGCTGAAAAATATCAAAAATTTTGTGTATCCATCGATCAATGAATAAATGTATAGTTATTTTTCGATATTTCATTGTATTGAAAAGTCGAATTAATTTATTTTTGACATAGTATACTAACCAGTTGTTGTTATTGATTTCTGGCCACACACAATTTAACAATATAGAAAAGAGCTTGAGATACGAAAGAGTGATGCGCCCGGTTCGCGATGCTGTCCCAAGCGGAAGTAGGCGGAAGTGTCGTTCGTCTTATCTGGCAATTGAATTTGACAGTTTTGCAAACGTCAGTCAAACCGACGACGTAATCCTTAGTTCCTTATAGACCATTGACATAGGAAATATTTCTATCTCAATGTTATAGATACAGTCGATTTACAAAGAAAGAATAAAGCACACTACCTATTCATATGTGTGACTGTTATGACTGTTGTAGCCGACAGTAGGCAGTTGTTGTAGGTACCTTCTATTGTGCGAATTAGACTTGTGATGTGTAGTGTTAGTGTACACAATTTTACACGTTATAGTGTTTCTAGCATCTTGGTATTATGCTGATACTCTACACCAACACCAAACCTATTTATCTTGTCATGTCAACTTCTGATTGTGGACGTAAACGTAGTGCTTATATTCTCTTTCATTGTGGATTGTGAGTGTGATTGTGAAGTTTGTTCGTCGGTCTAACTTTAATCAGAATTACAAAAATGGCTTTAGTTGCATACGAAAACAGTGACTCGAGTGACTATGAGGAGGAAGGGAATAGTGATTCCACAATCGCGGTTTTCAACAACAAAACTGAAATTAAGCACGGTAAAGAAGTACCATTTTTAACGTCATTATTACATTATTCAAATCGAGAGCGTCTTTTCCATTTTGTGTTCCGACTCGGTGTCCACTCAGTAAGGGTATTTTCTCCATCTCTCCACTGTTTGTATCATTCTATGGACAGTTTTCGTCCATTTTAGTACTTTACACTTCACACAATCTAGTATTTATAAACACATCATTTACCATTTCAGATCCTGATCCAGCAGTTTTAAAGCATGTAAAAACAATAGAGGATGAACAAGAGCCAGAGCCTCAAAAAAATGAACAAAGCTTATTTAATTTCTTACCACAACCATCAAAACAGAAACCAGCTGTTATTGAAGAGGATGATGAGTTCCTACACAAGAAAGAAACAACAAATGTTGTTAAACCTAAAGCCAGGATAACAGTACCCTCCCTGAACGATGTATGTACTTGTATGGTTTGTTCATTATAAAACTTGCTCACTATTATTTTTCCTGTAGTAGATGTATTTCTAATCATACATTTTCATATACACAATACACCCAGACCCAGTCCGGTGACAATCATTTATGAATCATACTTAGAGTTGTTCAGTGTGGGGAACCTGCAACTTGTTGTGCAGCAGACTGTTGCCTAGCCCCAGAATCAATAGTGCACTCACTTAGCTTTTTGATTTGAACTTCACTTAGCTTTACTAATAATTGTTTCTCTGTACTTACAGTTCAAAGACGTCAAGGACAGCCCCATTATTGTTAAATCAAGAGTACCAGCTGATGTAAGTAAACACATTATTACTGTTTACCTATTGTTCTATCACATATAAGTAAAATAGTAATGTTTTTAAATAATTTCCAGAAAAAATCTGGCTTGCTAAGTATGCTGCCGCAGCCAAGGAATGGAGTTAAGTCTACTACAGTGTCATTAATACCACAAGTACTCAAAAAGAAGCCTGAAATTCCTGTAAAGAAAGTACCATTACCTACACCACCTAAAAAATGTAAAGTTGATAGCACACCTCTTGTGAGTGAATACTCAGATGAGAGTGATAGTGAAGATCTGCAGAATGACTTCTTCTCAATACACAAACCTGTAGAATTACCTGATGCTGTGCAACTACCTTTAGACATAGATCATAATACTAAGAAGCACGACAAACATCAAGGCATTGAGTCTTTCTTCAAAAAGGAGGAAGACATGAAACATGTGGTATTGGAGCCAGACTATGATCAAAGCGTAGAAGAACAGGCTGCAGGTGGTTCTAGTTATGATGCTGCTGCATATGGTGCTGAGGGTTCCAACAATGATGTACTACTTAATGAAGAAGCTGTAAGTATCAATATTTTTACCAAAGTTTGCCAAAGCAAAAAGGGATGATACATACATTATGTACTAGCTTCTGCCAGCGACTTCAGTCAGTCAGCATGGAATAGTGAGTTCTGGCAGATTTTTGGTTTTACATACAGAGTTTCCAAACTCGTAGGATTTTCGGGAAGTCCTCCTTTTGAATTCCCGGGATGAAAACTATCCTGTTTTCATCCCGGTTGTGTTGTCCCGAATTTCAATTGAAATTGAAATTAAAGTAAAGTTCGGGAAATAGTTTGAAATAAATTTTCTAAATTTTGTACAGACATCTGTACAAAATTTTATACTAATCGGTTCAGTAGTTTAGGTATGAAGGAGAGACAGACAGATAAACAGAGTTGATTGAAATAAATTAACACAAAATCTAGAGTAGCAAATTGAAACAATTCAAAAACTGATTAATTATTGATTTTATGCGCGCCACAAAACATATTACATGTTCCTGGCAATCTTATTCTATTATTTATAATAAATCTCTAAAGTCTAGAGTTCAAATCTGTACATGAAATATAAAATTAGCTGTGCATGCGACTTTGTTCGCTTGGTTGTGGGTATGGAAGTGGATATTAATAAAAACAACTTTTTCTTATTTATCTTCTATTTACCGACCTTTTTGTTATATGTATTGATATTGATTATTATCTTGAAGCATGGCGTCGAAAAGGTGCACGCATGTCTACTGATTTCTGTCATTCTTTTTTTATTGAATACATAATAATGTAAACTTTTTTAATTAGGGATAAGTCAAAGTCAAAAAGTCAAAAAAGTCAAAGTCAAAAATCATTTATTCCAATTAGACCTTTGCAGGCACTTTTGAACGTCAAAACAAAATTTTGAAGATATCGTGTCAGTCTGTCGGTCAGTCCTCTTAGTGAAGCTATTTGCTCGTTCCAAAGTGTCAGAGTCAGAGTGTTATAAACGTAACAGTAAACAAAAATATCAGTATGCTCCGAACTCTTGAGCTATCAAGAGTTACACGTGTTATTGTGAGTCAACCATAAAGATAGACATAACTGTTGTGAGATGTTTTGTAGATAATTTTATGTAGAGCATCGCCGTGATACATGATTTCTATGTAACTATAACCATTAAGGCTGTACACGCTACGGAAGCTAAAAAAACGGAGTAACTTCTCCCGTTTTTATATAGCCAATATAGCACTCAGGAACACTGTAGCTATCTATCAGTGAAAGAATTTTGGCAATCTGACCAGAGTGGTTCCAAAGATTACACCCTACATACAAACTTACAAATACCTCTTTATAATATTAGTATAGAGTTACGAATTACGAGTACAGAATTGACCTCTCTACAGATTTATTAAAAGTATAGATATCTATCTATACTAGAGTGTGTGTGATAGTGAAAACGTTCATCCGACTACTAATATTCATTAATTACCTACTCATTGACATCAATTTATTATGACTTATGTAGTCTTCCTCATCTGACTTTTTGACGAACAATATTGACATGTAATTCAATAATTCATATTTACAATCCTAACTAGTTACATGATTATTAAAAAAAACTCAAACTATTACCTATTTGTATGCCTAAAATAGGGTGATAATAGCGCTCTTTAATTTAAAAATAATTAACCAAATTTACCCATGTATTAATAAAGATTTCATTTCAAGTAATTAGTATATTAGTATATTTTGTATGTATGGGATATAAGTACGATACATAAATTATAACTTTCAAAATGTTTGTTTAATACCCACGCCTGCTCCTAGTCAGCCTTATCAAATGTCTGTCACAATAATAAATAATTTCATTTAGATCCTGAAGCTGTGTGGTGCTCGTGGCAAACGGAAACGCGAGGAGATTCAGATAGTAGATGTGAATCAAGCAGAGGTGTTGGCGAATGCGCGGGAAATGCTGATGAAGGGATTGATGGACGACACGACTAAGCGTGTGTCTGCTAGTAAAAAGAAAGGAAATGAGCCAACCACGCAACAGAGGAGAAAGCACCAAATCACATATTTGGCTTATCAGGTATATATTATTGTTTCTAAAACAACGTATAGGCAAGGCGCTATAACGTGCCGCGGCCCGGCTCGGAGCAGGAGATGGAACGGGCTGGTTTTTGGTCAGTAAGACTTAAGAGTAACTCTCAGTCTGGCGCCACCCAGGGCAGGAATATACATTGATATTCTTACGAAAAATGATCCTCTTGTCTGCCGGTATATGAAACACAGTAGCAAATACATTGTATATCTGCGCTCGCATATCATGAGATAAATGGTCTTGGCAAGACATAAATAGTTAACTATAATATTGATTTGTATCTCAAACATGTCGCTGCTTTAAAAAGTCAGATTGTAGCAACTCATTAATTTTGTTTAATTTACAGGCCAAAGCAAATGAAGCAGAATTACAGAACCAATGGGCCAACAACAGGATGTCAAAAAGACAAACACAAGCCAAATATGGTTTCTAGCACAAGACCACTCGGGTGAATTTCTTTAGGAGGCATTAAAACCATTATTAGACAACCAAGGACATGTACAACTAATACAACAAACAATAAATAAGGATATAATTTTAATTTACATTTTTTTACTACATGTTCACTATAGAACTACTTAATAACTAATCATGTTAAATTACAATCTTCTGGCTTTTCTAGGTCGGGGAGGGTTCCATGACACATGGGTATTGTCTGTGATTGAGACAATATTCAAACCACCCATTTGTAAGCCTTTGACTGCCGCCTGTGAATAATATATATTGATGTCATTTTAAAAATAATAAATAATACTTCTGTGAAACAATCTTTCTACATAATTATTAAAACAAATATTTGTGACTATTGTGAGACACAAAACTTGCGTGAATGAACTTTGAAAATGTCTACTTGAAGTCACAGGCTTCAACCGTCCATTTGCCTTTCTTTTATTATTGCCAGAAAAAAAAAATGGTTTATAACTTTTCTCTTACCAGTCTGCCTGGTCCCAGTCCTTGCACTCTTACTCTGATGGTTTTGAAACCTCTGTCTATGGCTTTCTGAAACAAAATTGCTTGGTAGTTTCTTATAAAAAAACTATGTATTATATATGATATATATAGTAGCGGACCCTGCCCAAAACCTCCACATATCAAACTTCAGAGAAATTACTGTTTCTAAGATCACATGGTTTTTTAAGCAATCAGCCCTATCTGCCAGGATGATTTGTGGATCTAAACCATTCAGGGTGCCACTCAAACACATACAGAAAAATTTATTTAAATTAGTCAAGCCATTTATGAGGAGTTCAATGACATACACCCATACAGCAGAACTATATATGACGGCATGTCTATTATTTAAATTGAATTTTGAAGGAGGTTTTATCACAATTCATCGGATGGGGGTACAATGAATCAAACTCTGGCGGAACGTCAAACAGACAGTTCTGCGTGCACATTATGGTTGAGAGCGAGCGCTGTGATATAGTAGATGGATTGCCAAAATCCGTTATTTTTGTAATTTATTCGGTCTGATTATAAAATCCTACGCCCTGCGATCAACTGTGAAGACCATGATAGGGTTGTTGATGTTTGTACCAACCCTCCCGCTGCCTTCATATATTTTATATATATATAAAGATAATAAACAATTATGTTATAAATATATAAATTAATGAGAAAAAATTACATTGTACAGATGGATAACTTAAGGCTGAGTTGTGATAAGAGTGTTGACTAACAGAAAATATGTCTAGATTCTGCCAGTGTTAAGGATATGAAAGAGAAAGAAATTTTTGATAGGATGACATCTAATAGAAGGCTCTATAGTGCAAACCCATTATTATGAAACACGTAAAGAAAAACTCACAGTAGCTATAGCAATTGCAGTAGTTTGAGCAGCAATATTGGTTCCCTTCTTAGTATTCTTGAAGCCTTCCATACCACATGATCTGATAATCTTCACAGTACCACTGGCATCAGTCATCGTAAATATAGTGTTGTTGTGAGAAACACGGATGTTGCAGATGGGGAGCTGTTTGTACAATATACCATCGAATATTTGGTTATCAGAATCTAACGTTGGAAATAAGTTTTGTTTTCTGAAACATCAAATAGGTACTTGTATGAATATAATGTATTACTTTAAAACACAAAATTACTAGAAAAATTCACACACATCTTTAGCACCGAATCTAGATCAACAACTTTCTCTCCTTGTACACCTTCGTCTTCTTGAGGTATTCTCTTGTGATCAAACTTTTCTGATGCTTGAAGTGCAGATGTTTGGAATAACCGCAACACACCCGCTACGGGAACCCGTAGAGTGTTTCTAACAGTGCTAAGCATTATTCTGCTATTAAATCTTTTCAACTATACTTTAAGTTTAAATTTGGATTGTTTTCGTCAAATCTTAGCAACATAACCTAAAATTTTTGCTTCTGACTGACATTAGCATTTCGTTTTACGAAGCATAATAAAACATTTAAACTTCGATCTTTTTTTTTTGGAGTTTGTGTCCTAGATGCAAGTCCTTTAAGCCAATCAAACTTCGATCTAAACGTTGGATTGTTATCGTGACGAGAGGTTACAGGATTTTAGGGGTGAAAATGATCATAAATTTTTACTGCTTTGTTCCACAATGAAAATTTATATATATTTTATTATTCTTGACAAATTCCACTAACGTACATCAATGTTTTCCGACTTTTTAAATGAAAAAAGTCTTCTGAACGAAACGCTTGAGTAGCACTTGATCATAGAAAACTCCTACATGGGTTGGCAAGGTAGTAGAAACCAACTCGTTTCTTCTGCTCTAGGCCAAGGCCGTGGTGCCTCATTGTGCTTACCCCGCAACCCCGACTGAAGCTTGCAGAGACCTATGTATTTATAAATCTACTGTCGTAAAAACTCAAGTCAAGACTGACATGTCATGTATTGTACCCAAAGAGAATATACCATGGTGTCCATGGGCGGCGTAGATTGCTTACCATCAGGTAATCCGCCAGCTAATTTGCCGTCCTATCACATAAAAAAAAAACGATAGCAGTAGGTTAACGAATTGGTAGCACCCGTTCAGCAGAGTTATCATGTCAGGTAAATCGACAATCGGGCGATTAGGGATTATACTTAGTCAAGGAAACTCGTCAGGCCAACTGATGCTACGGAGCGTCTTTATTATACTAATTAATATATAATGTAATTTTCATCAGAGCCCCCTAATGACAGTCGTACTACCTTTTCGTTTTTTGTGAGGGGAAAATCTTCTTATGACTTCTCCCGCCCAGGGCTGGCGTAGTGGCGCCGAAGTTCTTCTTAAGGTCCCCCGATGTTAGGCAGCAGTCTGTGCAGAACACCCACTGCCTTCTCGACTCGAGGAAACAGGCGTTCGAAATGCTCTTCGAAGCCCCACCGACCATCCAAGATTAGGCCTAAATACTTTATGTATTGCCCAACCTGGACTTGCGCATCTCCAACGTATACCGACGAACTGGGTGGCTCCCTGGTCCTAGGGATCTTATGGAACCATAGAGACTCGGTTTTATGAGGCGCTATCTCCAAACCCAGTCCGCGTATTGAAGCCACGACATTTGCCACCCCGAGCTCTGAAAGCCGGATAGTCTCCTCAAAGGTATTCCCACTGGCTATTACCAACGCGTCATCTGCGTAACAAATGACATGGACACCAGCGGGAAGTACAACACGCAGGACCGCAACTCCGCATGTAATCTCCCTCCGCTGAACGCTACCGTCCCGGCCCACATAGCGAATGTGCCGGTCGCGCAGGTAAGCCCCGAAAATATTCTGCAAATAGGGAGGAATCCTGTGATAAACAAGAGCCTCCCTGATCGCTTTCCAGGGTAGAGGGTTAAATGTGTTAACAATATCAAGGCTTATTGCCAACGCAACCCCACCCCGGAACACTGCCTGATCCGACAGCGAGCGGACGTACAGTATCGCATCTATTGTAGAACGCTGCTGCCGGAAACCATTTAAGACAGGTCAGGACCAACTCGCGATAAGTGCCCAACGAGTCTTTCAGCGATTACTCTTTCAAAGAGCTTGGAAACCTCGTCGAGCAGGCAAATGGGACGGTATGCAGAGGGTGAGTCTGCGGGCCTGCCTTGCTTCTTTAGGAGAACTAATCCGGCTTCCTTCCAACGGGTGGGGAACACGCCTGACTGAAGACAGCTATTGAACAACCGCTTTAGACGGTCCCCCACAGCATCTAGAGTCAACACCCATTCACGGCCGGGGATACCATCCGGGTCAGGCGCGGTGTTTCGAGCACTTAATCTGCGCACGGCTCGGTCTAACTCTCCTTCTGTTACCCCTAAGTCAGGGGACCAATCTGACGATGGAAGGGGTAGCGAGGGACTATCACTAACTACTGGGAAGAGCGTATTTATCACCCTTTCCAGTAGATTCGGATCCATAGTCTCCGTAAGGGGAGGAACCCATGGGCGGAGTTTACCCATGACTAAACGATATGGTCTTCCCCATGGATCCCTGTTTAGCCCCTCGAGGAGTTCCCTCCAGGACCGAGACTTGCGCGCCTGACGTGTCCCGACTCGAAGCAATAGAAGCGACGTGGTTCCAATACTTCGACCCTAACTGACGTCCAACCCAATGGCATGCGCTTGTCGGACGCTAGTTTTTTCATTGCCATCAGAGGGCCACGAACCCATACATGCCCTAAGGAAAATGGGGGACGTCGAATTTCACCAATTTTAATTTCTTCCGTAGAACATCCTCCCGCCCTAGTAATGGCCACTGCCACCTCCTCTAGGGTTACAGCGTCATTCAGGTCCATAACCCTTGCTTCGGCAAATTTATTCGGACGTCCAATTTGCACGTCAAATTCTCCAATTACCTCCTGCATACGACTTGCGAGACGATCGGCCTTGGCAGAAGAATTCTCACCTGAAATCATGAATATAATCCCACCATCAGCAGCACGTTTCTCACGACATGAGTCACTGGTAATGTCGAATTTGGAAAGACTAATTCGTCTTCTTGCCTCAACAAGTAATTCCCCAAGACCTACGTTTGATCCCTCCCTTACACGTATAGTGATCGCTGCCGAAGTGGGAACTTTTAGCAGTTTCACTGACGGTTTATTTAATGATTTGCTCTGTGCAGCCGAAGCAGACCATTGGTAGTGGGGCACTCGCCCTTTTGGCCTTACGTCCCACTTCTAATGACCACGTGGTGGTATCTTGAGAATTTGCTGTTCCCGGTCATACCTACATCCTTTGCAGCCGAAGTGACTATTCCCGCAGGCGAATCTGCAACCATAGTGGATGTGATTGCGTTTGTTTTCTTCTTCTTACTTTTCTTCCGCTTCGTCTTTTTGGCTGTCGCCTCTGGCTTAGAGGATGCAAGTCTCCTAGTATCTGAGGCGAGGGCTGGGCGAAGTGACTTCTCTGGCAGCAATCTGCCCTCTAAAGCGGCTAGCTTTGCATCCATCATAGCGCCAACCTCTCTAGCGATGGGACGTCGAAGTTGCGCTTCCGTATCTGTTTCCGTTTCTTGACTGGCGGTCCCAACTACAGCTAAATTTCAGAACTTCATCGAATTATAGTGCGTATGCAAAACTAAATCAAAAAAACGAACAAGCAGACTAGAACATTGGCGACACTATCCAAAACCGGACTGAGAACTGAAAATACTTTTATACGCCAAACATGAAAAAAAAACCAAACCACCAAACCATACCAAACTTTTCTAATTAAGTAAGTAGCTTGTTGTTTCGTATTTGCGCAAGAAATAGAGAACGATGCAATACGTCCATCAAACTCGCTAATCTGTGGCACCAACATAACATTTTTTTGTGGAATCGGTTGGGTCGTATTATTAGTCGTCAAACGAGCAGATGGATTACCAGTAAGCAATCGGCATGGTCTATTGACGGGTGTCACGATACAGTTACTATTGCGATGATGATACCTTTTAGGGATAAGGGTTTCGGATTGGGAAGGTATTGTGCTTCCGGTAACCTCACTCACACGGCAATATACGATGCTATTGTTTCACGCCGGTTTTCTGTGAGACCGTCGAATTACTTCGGTCGAGCCGACCCACTCGTGCCGAAGCTTGGCTCTACACACTCAAAACCATTCTACTAGTAGCCAAGTAAATAAAAACATGTCCGTTATAAAACCGAGTAGAACACAGAGCCTACTTTAGTTTAGTCTTATTTCCTTTAGGTATTGATCGTCGACATTTATAGCTTTTTTAAAAAAGCAAGCAGCAAGCAGTCTCTCCAACGATGCCATGACGACTGTAGGTATGTCGACGTGCTTAGGTGTTTGTATAGAAACGCCACCATGCTCATTCGGCTCCAGGACGACAGCACAAAACCAATCCAATTGCAGAAAGGCGTGAGGCAGGGAAACGTAATTTCTCCGAAACTGTTCACGAACGCATTGGAGGACGTTTTCAAGCTCTTGAACTGGAGTGGCTTTGGCATCAATATTAATGGCGAATACATAACTCACCTGCGCTTCGCCCATGATATAGTCGTTTTGGCAGAGTCGTTGGAGGACCTGAACACCATGCTCATCGACTTTAATGTCGTTTCCCAACAGGTGGGCCTGAAAATGAACATGGACAAGACGAAAAATGTCTAATGTCCATGTTGCACCTGTACCGGTCATTGTTGGGAACGACATCCTTGAAGTTGTTGAACATTACACATACCTTGGTCAAATCATTCAGCTCGGTCGAGAGGTTCGAGAAAGAGGTCGCCCGAAGAATCCAACTCGGATGGGCGGCGTTCGGGAAGTTACACGATGTCTTCTCATCAAAAATTCCACAGTGCCTGAAGACCAGGATGTTTAACCAGTGTGTGTAGCCGGTGATGACGTATGGTACTGAGACGTGGTCCTTAACTTCTGGCCTTCTTGCTAAACTCAGCGTCGCTCAGCGCGCGATGGAGCGGGCTATGCTCAGGGTCTCTTTGAGCGACAAACTTCCGAAATGTGGAAATTCGCCAAAGAATCAAAGTCACCGACATAGCTCGTAAAATCTGCAGGCTAAAGTGGCAATGGGCAGGCCACGTCGCTCGAAAGACGGACGGTCGATGGGCCCGAAAAGTCCTAAAATGGCGACCAAGGACCGGAAAACGTAGTGTGTAGCCTCCCGCTAGGTGGACCGACGACATCGTCAGAGTCGTGGGGAGCCAATGGATGCAGGTGGCAACTTGTCGTTCGACGTGGAGAGCTAAGCTAAGCTAAGCCTTTGTCCAGCAGTGGACGTCTTCCGGCTGATGATGATGAAGAAAAAAGTAAAAAATGTCGACGGAAAAATGCTGTGCAACACTGTGACTAGGGAGAATTAAATATGGATGGTTTATTTTTTAATAGAAGATACATTGCACGTATCATATAGGTAGGTACCTATGTACAAGAAATTTTTACTGGTAATTTATCCGAATCAGTTGTTGATGAAATCTTAAAAATCTTCCAAAGAAGTCCTTAGCTCAAATTCCCTTCAAAGTCCCTTTGAAGCCGGCTTGCATAGGGACTTTTTTGTCAAAATCATCAAATGTCTTCTCCCGCCCAAGGTATGGCGGGAGAGTTTCTGACTCTTACTGATTAAAAACCCCCGTTCCTTCTCCTGTTTTGGGCCGAGGCCGCGGTGCCACATTGCGCTTAGCCCGCTAGCTCAGCAGCTGAAGATCAGCCCTATAGGGCCCAGTCTGTGGTGGTCTATTGGCATTTTTTAACCATCTTATCGCAATAATGTCTCACTCATATAGATAAGGACTAACAAAATAGAATATAGCTTTCTGAAGGAGGGATTGTATAAATTAAAACCAGTAAGACTCCTGTACCCGTCATTTATTAATTACACATTTGTAATAAGGACATTGGAATATATATATCATCTAATCTTCTAAGATATCTTTGGAGTAAGCACAGGTTCTAGCAGATTCCGCCAGGCCGCACGCAACAGCCTGAGAGAACCCTCGGAGGGAAGCGGGCACGCCCGCGGACGTCAGTTTGAGATGTCCCGCCTCCGCGAGGTAGTTGGCGCCTGTGAGTTCCCCGATGGCCCAATCCACGGTGTACTGGCGCGCTGCGGCATCGTCGCCAGCTGCCTCCTTCGTGATGATGTAATTTACGAACGCTGAGTACAGCGGGCACGGGACCAGCTTTATAAACATGCCGTTATCTAGGAGTTCTTTGATCAAATCGTCGTCGACTTCATGGTTCTGGAGAAATATCTGGAAGTACAAAAAACACGTACTTAGGAAGCAGAGTTTGAAAATAATTATAGTAAAACTAATTAGTAGCCGTTACCTTATGCTGAAGGGCTAAGTTTAAGATATTATCCTTAAAATTTTCAGATTTGCTGAGGAGAACAACCCAAATAGCATTGATTACAGACTCAGGGGCTACATTATCAGCAAGCCATTTGACCTCCTGAAATCAGAGCATAAAACACTTAATCGCTATTTTCAATTTTATTCTTTCAAGGTTCAGCAAAATAGAGAACAGCAACCTCTTCAGCAAGCACGGGGCGCTGCAGCAGTAACTTGATCAGCATCAACTTCTCCGCCTGATCTCTTCTGTCGGCGAGAAGGTGGTGCACGTATGTACAATGCAGGCTCCTCGCCTCACTGCAAAACAGTATCGAATATTGTAGCATTATAATTTACAAAGACTAACTTTAACTATTTATCGATGAGACCATCAATTATTATTTCTCTCGTCCAGGGCAAGGCGAGAGGAAGTATCAGAATATTAGCGAGTAACAACCTATTTTCCTGCTGTACTTCCTGTTGCTCTGGGCCGGGGCCGCGTAACCTTACTGCTCTTGGTCCGCAACCCACATATTTATAGGATAGCGCGGCAATCCGCGTCGTCCTTGGACGCCTGATGACGGATTTGGTTTAGGATCATTTCGCGGGAGTTGGAGAATGGGGACTGGGGGTCAGTTTTGGGCGTACTGATCACTCAGTCAGCGAGCACGGTGTACAAGCCTAGCTATACTAACTTACTAGACTAGCTTACTTGTGGTGCAAAACACTACAAATAGCGCCAAAGCTTTAGTAGTTACGTGACCTGCTCCTAGTGGGTGGCCAGCAATGGAGTACGTCTACAAGCGCCTTCTTGCGCTGCCACGAGTCTGCCAGCGACAGGAACTTGCTGAAAGCATCCCGACGGCCTTCCTCACCGAGTAGCGCCTCGTCTGCGGGACCAATTTACGCATGTCATGCTTCATAGTCCATTTACATTATTTCAAAACTATCAACGTAAAATGATATGATATGATCAATCATTATATTATGCTAAAATTAGTACCTACCTATACAAATTTATATTTTTGCACAACACGCGCTCTCCATTTTTAAGCGAATCAAACTGAAAATAATCCCCAGTTGTGCAAATTATATGGCGTGGAAAGTGTTCCACTACTCGAAGTTGCATAAACTTGCAGTGGAACACTTACACAACAACCCCATAACAATTGGTTGGTTTCTTTGCGGAAAATAAAGTAAAAGCTACCTGGACGTCGATTCTATAAAATTTGTTTGATTTTGAATCGTGTTCGAGTGCGAAGTGAGCGTCGAAATGACGGGGAAATTAAATTTTAGAATGCCACTTTTAACGTCATCTCATACTTTATCTATCAAAATGTTGCTGTCAATTTAGTTCAACTCGCAAGTGTAGCGTTAGTGTACTACTACTCACAGCGGATTCAGATTCGAAGTTTAGAATGAAGTCTTTCAGAATCACACTGCTGAAATATAATTAATAACGAAACAGGTAGAAACAAATCAAATAACACGGAATTTAATTTAAACACCGAAAATATATTTACTATAGTACAAATTCGTTAATTGCCCAGGAATACGGAAATTTCTTTAAAAAATATTCTTCTTAAAAGTACGGAATCGTTGAAATCATCTCCAGCACTTGCTGTCGAGCCTCTCAGGAGTAACGTCAAAGAATGTGCTTCTGACTTTAGGTTTTTTTTTATTATTTAATAGGGCGGCAAACGAGCAGACGGATTACCTGATGGTAAGCAATCAGCGCCGCCCATGGACACTCGCAACGGAGGAGTTACGAGTGCGTTGCCGACCTTTTAGGGATTAGGGATTTGGAGATTTATGCCCGTTTTCACCAACAGCCCCTAAAATTTAAGTGTCTCTTAAGCCTTTGACTGCCAATAGAAAAATATTGAAGGCAACTCCTCCGCTAACGGAGGTCACCGGTGACCCCCATGGCGCTTAACGTGTTAAGCCAATATAAGGGGCACTTCTCGCGAGTTTTGTTTTCACCAACGTTTAAGTGTCACCTATATCATTAGGGGTTCCTTATAATTTACGGGATGAATTGACGACCCCGTAACGTTTAAGTGACACATAGTGTTAGGTTATTTTGCGAATCACCAAACAGTATTTTATCCTACTGAATAAGATAAAAAATTATAAAAATGGATAATAACCAAACCATATTTATTTGAAGATTTTAAGCAACTGAAGATATGGAATTGTTAAGTAACCGACATTTGTATAGACGACCTCGTATTTATCGTGAAAGATCGAAAGATTTTGAAATATATGATGAAAAAGACTTTTTCATAAGATACAGGTTACCTGCTCAACCTTACTTGTATTTAAAGAAATAAATCTGTGGCACCGATTAACCAATTACTATGTGCCCTTAGATTTTATGCAACAGGCAATCAATTATTATCTGTAGCAGATCTCAATCCCATCAGTGTATCTACTTGCAGTAGAATTATAAAAAGAGTGTCTGACGCTATCGTGGGTCGTAGCAAAGCGAATTCATACAATTTCCAGACACCGAAGAAGAACAACAAATAGTAAAAGAAGAATTTTACAGAATAGCTCGATTTCCAAATGTTTTAGGATGTATAGACTGTACACACATAAAAATTCAATTATAAGGTTGGGCGTTTAGAGAAACACAGCTCCTTACGAGTAACCATTTATTACTGAATCTCCTATGAAATAATACATGATTAAGTAAGATGGACAGACACGCACACATACAGATACGCCAGATCTTTGTGCCATATTTATTGAGCCTCCAGCGAACACCGTCGTTCGCACACCTATCGTCTTTCTATGATATCTCTAATAATGATATTCAAAAGTCTTTTAATTGTATCAACTAGAAACTTGTTTACATTTATTTATGTGATAAATTATAGGAGGAGATGATGCCGAATTATTCCGGAAAATAAAAGGCAGTATGTCTAGTCTATTAATATGTAAACAATAAGTACTGCAAAATTATTAATGACTGATGTGGTGACACGCTAGCCAGGATCAACAACATTCTTTATCTTCAAGTGAAAAATTTTGACCACGTTTCCTCTTTTCTGCCATTGTAATTAATAAAAAGACCAAAGAAAATACACGAAATGATTGAAATGAAACTGTCACGTGGATAGTGGCATCAAAATGTCACCGGCACCGCGTCTTTGTAAGCTATGGCATTCAACATACAGCCAAAAAATAAAAAAACAACATTTTGTTACTAATCTAACATTCACCAGTTCAAGACTCTTCTTTTCGAAATAAATTGAAGTTAGAAAAGTTAATTACTTGTTTTAAGGTTGTATATTTACGAAAATAACAATAGAATTGTCTAATCGATTCATTTATCGATAACTGTTTGCATAGTTCCTCAACACTAAACGTCAGTTACCTAATTTAAGTTAAGGGATGATTTGAACGGTCCCCTTATTTAAGTGGCCCTTACTAAGGTGACTTTTTAGGGGCTGTTGGTGAAAACGGGCATTAGGGATTTAGGAGGGATTGGGGGAGGGGAAGGATTGGGCCTCCGGTAACCTCACTCACACGGCGAAACACAACGCTGTGGTTATTTCACGCCGGTTTTCTGTGAGGCCGTGGTATCACTCCGGTCGAGCCGACCCATTCGAATTCAAATAATATTTTATTTATTTCGTTGCGAGATGATCCAAGACAAATCAAATCAAATCAAAATCATTTATTCCAAATAAACCATAAATAGGTACTTTTGAAACGTCAAAATAGAATAGTAGTCTGTCAGTCTGTTCGTCAGTGAAGCTAGGTGCACACACAGGACAGTCATTCATGTCCCTGGGACGCGCCGGACTTTAGTGTTCCAGTGTTGTCATGGTTGTATCTACTGTATTATTTAAGAAGTGATATACATAATATTAACACGAGGGGGAAAAAATGTTGTGCCTGCCTCCAGGCTTCAGAAAATAAGTAGTTCGTTTAGATGTCAATACGGTTTTACAATAAAATTCCTAGCGATATGCAAAATTTGAGCCTCGCACTTTTATATACAATTTGACATTACGTCTTTTTTTTTCATACAATGACATTATCACCTATTGTGACATTTTTTATTTGACATTTTTTTAATTTATTTATTGACATTTTTATTATTTTATTATTATTATCCATCAATTAAGTTTTGCTTTCCTCGGCATTTTAAGAATGCCGGTAAATTAATGAAACCACGGGCCTAAGCCAAGTGAGCTTCATTGGAGGGAATAGGTTCAATATTTGCGTCGTCTTGTAGAAATTTACGAACTATTCTACACGTGTTTGCTAAAGCGGCTTTTTGCATGGTTATATATGTATTTATAGGTAATTCAATTTGTTGTAGGTAATGTTGTAGGTATTTAGGTATTATGCCAGTGCTGGAGAGCACCAGAGGCACAATATACACACGATTCATCTTCCATATTCTAATTATTTCTTCTTTTCGCTCTGTGTATTTACTATTTTTTTCGGAAATTGTCTTTTGTAGGTTGTGCGTATTTGGAAATGCAATGTCTATAATATATGTGTATTTATTCTGTTTATCAATCATTGTTATATCCGGTCAATTATTATGAATTGTCTTGTCAGTTAATATTGCTCTGTCGTAGTATATCTTGTGACTCTGATTCTCCAACACTGGTTTAGGAACATATTGGTAATACGGTACAATATTAGGCGGTAAAAGATTACATTTTATGGCTAATTTCTGATGAATGATGTGTGTGATCTGATTGTGTCTATGTGTGTAATCGGTTTGAGCTAGATTTGGACATGCACTGGTAATATGTTGAATAGTTTCAGCGGCGCGGTAACATTTCCTGCATTTGTCGTTCTGTGCGGTGGGATCCTTAAGTATATGTTTCTTGTAATTTTTGGTGTTTATGACCTGATCTTGTATCGCGATCATAAACCCTTCGGTTTCTGGAAAAAGCGATCCTAATTTTAGCCATTTATTTGAGGCGTCTATGTCTATGTGTGGTTGCCCTAAATCATGTAAATGTCTTCCGTGTATTTCTTTGGAGCGCCACCTATTCAACTTGTCAGTGACATGGTTTTGTGGGGTTTTATAAATAATATCCCTATTAGACAAATTCAACGGAGTGTAATTTTTATCGAGATTAACTATGGCTGAATGAATATGGCTAGTTGTGATTTTACTATAAAAGAAATTCCGTAGATTTTTAAGTTGACCTTCCCACAGTACATTCAAATCTATGAGGCCTCTTCCTCCTTTTTCTCTCTTAACTGAAATTCGCTCTATAGCTGACTTGGGGTGTAGGTAGTTGTATTTTGTTAGAGTGGTCCTGATTTTTATTTCTAAGTTACGAATGTCTGTGCGTGTCCATTTAACTACACCAAATGAAAATGTAAGAATGGGTATTGCGAAAGTGTTGATAGCTTTGAATAGATATTTTGAGTAAAGTTTTGAGAACTCTGTAGATAGATGTTTCTTAATATTAATGTGATCAATGGTTTTGGACTGATGAATACCCAGATATTTGTAAGTATCTGTCGATCCCATCGATTCGAACGTATCAGGTTCGGCCGTATTGCTAAGTGTACTAATTATTTTGCCTTTGTATATGTGTAGTGTGCGGCACTTATCTAAACCAAATGTCATTTGTATATCGCTACTATATTTGGCTGTTAAATCTAATAGTGATTGTAGGCATTTCTTGGATTTTCCAAATAACTTAATATCATCCATATACATGAGATGAGTTATGGCTGTCTCTGAGTTTAATTTATAACCGTGCGCTGAATTGTTGAGAAGGTGAGATAATGGGTTCAAGGCAGAACCAAAGAGGACTGAGAGAATCGCCCTGAAAAATGCCCGTCCTTATGTAAATTTCATCTGGTGTGATGAAGCTTGCACCATTATTGAGGTATAAGGTTGTTCTCCAATCAGTCATAGCAATTCTCAAAAAGTTAATTATAATCGGGCTTATTTTATATATTTGTAAGATTTTAATTAGCCAGGAGTGGGGGACACTATCGAATGCCTTTTGATAATCAATATAGGCTATGCTCAAATTTCTATTTTGAGTATGTGCGCATTTTAAAATTGTTGAGTCTATTATGAGCTGTTTTTACATCCTCTGTGGTTCTGCCTACATCCTTTCTGTTCTTCTGACAGTATATTGTTTCGATGAAGATGGCTGTTGATATTTCGTGTGATGAGTGAAGTGATAAGTTTGTAAATTGTTGGTAGGCATGTAATGGGACGATATTGTGAGGGATTCGATGTGTCACTACTTTTGGGAAGCATGTAAGTTACTCCTTTCATGATGAATTTGGGCATCAATTGCTCACCCCTAATTAATTCTGTGACGTTTTTAGCTAAAATGGCATGTAATGTGAAAAACTTTATGTGGCAAAAATTATGTATGTTGTCAACGCCAGCTGCTTTCCAATTTTTCATTCTTGAAGTGACTATTGTTATGCCTTCTGTGTGATATCCGCGAATTCCATCTCATCAATGTCAGTCATTCTACTTCTTTCTTCATCAATCCATGTGGCAGTGTCGTTATGATGTGTTTGTTTTTCCCATAAATTAGCCCAGAAGCGTTTAAGTTCATTGGGTTCGGGGGATATATTGTTACTATTATTTTGAATTTTACTGTCTCTACACGCCCTATAGAAATTCTTCTCATTTATTGTAAAGAGTTTATTGTGTTCCTTTCTTTGGAGAGCTTTTAAATATCTTGCTAATCGTTGTGATTTTAAGGTTAATTTCTGCTTTAATGTGTCTAAGTATTCCTCGGGCCTAACATTATTTGGTTCATGTATAGTATGTACTTTTGTTTGTCTGAATATGCTTTCTACCGTTTTCATATTTTTTCTAGATCTATTATTGTTTATATACTGTGTTAATCTACCAATATCTACTCGTAAGTTTTTTATATCTAATTCTAGTCTTGTTTGCCATGAAGGTTTATCAAGGTTTTTATTGTATTTAGTGGTTGGTTTACATGTTTTTATTTTATATCCTAAGTTTTGAGTTATTACGTGTGCACAGCAATATATAAGTGTATGTATACATACTAAATCGGAATCTATAGAGTAAAATCGGTTCAATATTTGTTTGTTAAAAATATCAACCAACGCGTAGAGTTTTTTATTTTCTCTCAATTTTGATAGCTTAGGGCGAGCTGTAGGATCTGTGCCAGTATATTGAATAAGAACAGTTTCCAGTTGGTTAATTAATATCTGTGCAGATACATCCACCTCCGACATTTGACTAGGTTGTGAGATTAGTATCTGCTGCGATAAAAGATCCTGAGAGAAGTGTGTTTGAGTGGATGCGTGTTGAGTGAATGTAGCGTGTTGATTACATGATAAATTTATATTTGGGGTGATGTTTGAATCGATGGACGCGACGTTTTCAAAGTTTAGCAATTGTTCTCTAGGTTGGAAAGATAAAGATGATGTTGTAGGAATGACATCTGATGTGTTTCCGATATTGAAATTCTCACTTCCTTCTTCTTCTAAAGTTCTACGTACTTCTTCTTTTATATGATCTAATGTTTCCTGTGAGAGTCGCTTATTTTTTATTATTGTCTTCATCTGATCCGATACACGTTGTTCCGAGACTGTTATTTGTGGGTACTGTCGCGAGAATAGTTCGTGCAATCGTTTCCTATATGTTGTCTTATCCGTTTCTAACTTTGTTATATAATAATAAGTGCGCATGATGAATATATTCACATCTTTACTCCAAGACATGCGCACTCTTGGTTTGCCGGCCTTGGTGGACGCAGGTAAAAAGGTATTCACCTCCCGCGCAACATCCAAGACTGGAGTGGGTGAAGTTCTAAATCTTACTGAAGGTGGTGATGAGTTAGTTGACGAAGGTAACGATTGCAATGAAGGGGTATATGAAACGGTGCTCGGGCTATATGGTTCAACAGTGTGATTGGTAACATAGTCATTAAGACTATCAGAAGTATCTTGTTCGGCTGTAGTAACTTCGGGTGACCCGGTCGGAGCCCGCCTGCTCAGGTCCTCACCACTGACGGTTTGCATGCTGAAACACCCAGCGTCAGCTCCAGGTGTGCCCCGGCGATCCCCGGGAAGCGGCCCTCTCAATTTCCTTTTTAAACGAGTCTCCATTTTTAATGGGTTTCCAGAGCCACGTTAGCCACGTTAGCCACGCCAGTAATTTAATTTTCGTGTGTCCGCCCCCCCACGTCTTCAGATCGGTCGATCGGGACGTGTGGTTGTTTAGGGGGCTTATTATTTTACATTATTGTTAGTGTAAGGACCGTGTGAGACTTGCCGTGCTTTTTGATTACCAGTTATCTGCGTTCTGACAGTTTGAGTACTTGCGCGACCCACCCAAATGTTCTTTTTATCGGTATTGTTCGTCGGACAACTCAGCAGTACTAGCTGTACTGGTTGCAAACTGACACTTGCGTGCCTGTCTTCAGAACGGGTCCACTTAAACTGGTGTGGTTCTTTCCTGAAAAGACCACTACAGGATGAACTTGCACGGTTCTCTCACATTATGTTATTTTACATTGTTGTTGTACATGAATTCAAATAATTATTATAAAGTATGCACCATAATGTGGGTACCTCGTAATATCTTGATAATAAACATGTGGTATACCCGCAAAATTAGGTATATTTCAATAGCGTCAGAGCCGAAAACTTCGGGAAGTCGGTTGGAAACGTTGATTCGAAACGTTCGTGTTGGTAATATCCTTCGATTCTATACTTTGGAAACTTCGACCGGGATTCCGTACTATTGATAATTGTTTTGTTGCTGCGCCCGCGCTTAAAATATTTATATTACAGTGCAGTAGTACTGTAAGCCGCGCTTATAGTAGACTGTTCGCGAGGTTGGTATGCGCATAATTTCTGGTGTGAAGTGCCGGACGCTGGATCACACGGTCAGAGAATTCCTTAAATATCCCCTTCACATTCCCTTGAGTAGGTCATCAATCCTCCTGTGTGTCCCTCACGGGTACCCTAATCCCTATAGACCATTGACTGACTGACTGTGATAGCATCGAGGTGCACCAGTAACTTTTCGGTAAGTGGAACATGCACTTTATGTATGTAGGTATCGCGTAGGCCAGAACTTAACCTAGGGTTTTGTGTCGCCGGGCCAACGATCACGCTGTTTTCGATACATAGTCAATCAAAAATGCTTGGCTGGAAAAGTTATGAATTTATCATTCTCAAAACAAAAAGGTAATTAAAATTGGGAATCTGTTAACCTGGTACTGTAACAGGTAACTATTTATCTATACTAATTAATATTATAAAGAGGTAAAATTTGTAAGTTTGTATGTAGGGGGTAATATTTGAAACCGCTGGTCGGTTTGCCAAAATTATTTCACTGATAGATAGCTGCAATGTTCCTGAGTGTTATTGGCTATAAAACATCACGCTACGATCAAATGGAACCGAGCAGCGCGCGAATCCGCGTGAGAGTAGCTAGTATTCAATAAAACAAAACAAATAAACTCACCAGTCAATTCCTCAGCGTAGTCTGAGTCCGGCCACTCAGTACGGAACAGCTCCACAGTGAACTGTGCTATCTTGAGCATATCGTCACTATCATGGACCCTCGTTTTCTGGCTCAGAGATAGTAGACCAATCTGCTTGTGGGGGGCCAACGCAAACTCTGAAGCTTTCTGCATCACCGTGTCTAACAGTTCCTCGGGAATCATTACCCCTTCTTTACTGTATGCGGTCACACGGGACACTAGGATCTCCACGTCACTGTAATCATGCAACGGAGTATCAACGTTATTACGTAACAAAACTTGTTTAATAATATGTTGTATCATTTGAAGGAATTAGTATCCTGGTGTGTAGCTGGGCTGCAGTAGTACTGTACCTGGCGGAGTGGCAGTGCCGCGCGGCGTGCTGCAGTAGCTGGGCGGCAGTAGTACTGTACCTGGCGGAGTGGCAGTGCCGCGCGGCGTGCTGCAGTAGCTGGGCGGCAGTAGTACTGTACCTGGCGGAGTGGCAGTGCCGCGCGGCGTGCTGCAGTAGTACTGTACCTGGCGGAGTGGCAGTGCCGCGCGGCGTGCTGCAGTAGCTGGGCGGCAGTAGTACTGTACCTGGCGGAGTGGCAGTGCCGCGCGGCGTGCTGCAGTAGTACTGTACCTGGCGGAGTGGCAGTGCCGCGCGGCGTGCTGCAGTAGTACTGTACCTGGCGGAGTGGCAGTGCCGCGCGGCGTGCTGCAGTAGTACTGTACCTGGCGGAGTGGCAGTGCCGCGCGGCGTGCGGCAGTAGTACTGTACCTGGCGGAGTGGCAGTGCCGCGCGGCGTGCTGCAGTAGCTGGGCGGCAGTAGTACTGTACCTGGCGGAGTGGCAGTGCCGCGCGGCGTGCTGCAGTAGCTGGGCGGCAGTAGTACTGTACCTGGCGGAGTGGCAGTGCCGCGCGGCGTGCTGCAGTAGTACTGTACCTGGCGGAGTGGCAGTGCCGCGCGGCGTGCTGCAGTAGTACTGTACCTGGCGGAGTGGCAGTGCCGCGCGGCGTGCTGCAGTAGTACTGTACCTGGCGGAGTGGCAGTGCCGCGCGGCGTGCGGCAGTAGTACTGTACCTGGCGGAGTGGCAGTGCCGCGCGGCGTGCTGCAGTAGCTGGGCGGCAGTAGTACTGTACCTGGCGGAGTGGCAGTGCCGCGCGGCGTGCGGCAGTAGTACTGTACCTGGCGGAGTGGCAGTGCCGCGCGGCGTGCTGCAGTAGCTGGGCGGCAGTAGTACTGTACCTGGCGGAGTGGCAGTGCCGCGCGGCGTGCGGCAGTAGTACTGTACCTGGCGGAGTGGCAGTGCCGCGCGGCGTGCGGCAGTAGTACTGTACCTGGCGGAGTGGCAGTGCCGCGCGGCGTGCTGCAGTAGCTGGGCGGCAGTAGTACTGTACCTGGCGAAGTGGCAGTGCCGCGCGGCGTGCTGCAGTAGCTGGGCGGCAGTAGTACTGTACCTGGCGGAGTGGCAGTGCCGCGCGGCGTGCGGCAGTAGTACTGTACCTGGCGGAGTGGCAGTGCCGCGCGGCGTGCTGCAGTAGCTGGGCGGCAGTAGTACTGTACCTGGCGGAGTGGCAGTGCCGCGCGGCGTGCTGCAGTAGCTGGGCGGGCTGGGCGGGTACATGCAGACACTGCAGTAGACGAGTGAGTGCGCCGGCGCGTATGTCCGCCTGCAGGATGGCGCGCGCGAAGCAGTCTATGAGCCGCTCCGGGTCGCCGTGGCTCTTCTCCACCTCTCTGTGTGCAGATACGATACGCGTACACTTCGTTTTTAGCTTATATTCGAGACAAGAGTACAACATTTGGAATTAATAATGTTTTAAATTCTCTTTCATTAAGATGTAAGACAGTACTGGATATTTTATTGAAACGATTCACACAAAACCCCATTAAGGATTTCTTATCTCAGGATAGACGAAATCATGTTACAGCCAGCTTATTTTTGCTTACGTTATTAGAAGTATTGTTTTTTTCAAATATGTAATTTCAAGATTTCCTCGAGTACATAATATTTTCATATATAAACTGACAGGGCACCGTCAGGATATTTAATCGTTTTAAATATTCATTCCCTTACAGATTCGCCATAGGGCAAGTTATACATATATTGCTCGGATAGCCCGCTTTGCAGAATAACAATTGATTCTACTTCCGTAGCTCGACCTCACAGCAAAATCCTGTTCAACACAATGCTGTGAAAATAGCTAAAATAGACGAGCCTGGCCGTATTTACGTCTGTGAGCTGTGTGAGCTGTCTAATCTGTCTAACTGCAAAACGACTGAGATTGAACTCCAAAAGCGTCTTTATGTGGAAATCCTATTGAAGCCGGGTCTAACGCCATACCTGGGAACACTATCCCGTTGACCAATCCCAACTTTTGTCCATTCAAAATTATATAGCAATTATTACTTTGCATGGTTGGTAGACTAAATTTATAACATTTTGTGTTTTTCTTAGTTATTAATTGTGAACCAAAACGACGTGAAAATTTGCAGTTCGTCGACCTGTTTTAGAGATTAATGATCTATCCATCTGCAAAGTACACCACTCTTTTTTAACCGACTTCAAAAAAGGAGGAGGTTCTCAATTCGACGCGTATTTTTCAGTTTTAAATAGAAATGGCAAGTCATAAGTGACGTTTTGACCTGTCTTATTTAAAGGACATGTCCAGAAATGGCCTTTTAATTATAACCAGAACGAGTTAAATATATTTGGATAGACTTCACAAAACCTAGTTCTTTTTTCTTTTTTCTTGAGAAAAGCGTTTTTTAATTTTAATGATAAATTACTTCTAAAATGAACAAATCTTTCTAATTATCTAGGTTATTTAAGTGAATGCATCCAAAAAAAGTGAACTTGTCAAAATAGACGGGAGAGGAAGAACTGTCAATACTGAGCCAATAGGGGTGCGATCTGAAATCAATTACCATAGAAACGATTTTTCGAGACACAAATATCGATTTATATATTTATGTTTATCACATTTTTTTATTAAATGGATTTTAGTTTATTATGTTTATATTGTGATGCTTTAAGTCGTAAATATCAATAGATATGTTTGTTACCCCCATAGTCAGGGGCCATCTGAAATCAACGCTGAGCCATATCGTAGATAAGCAACATTTGATTTTGTCTGTTAGAACTGCATGCTTTGTTTTTATATATTTTCTAATTTAAAATACGTTTAGAAAATAAATAACTTGTTTGATACGTGTTACTTTCATTTGAAAATAAAATAATTCATATTATCGAATTCTCGAATAACATGAATCTCAATCCGAGTTAACTTAGGTTTGTCCTAAGTTAGTTCATCTCTAACGCTAGTGACAAAATAATGGCTTTTTTAAGGGATAGGAGGCAAACGAACAGACGGATCACTTGATGGTAAGCGATCGGCGCCGCCCATGGACACCTGCAACTCCAGAGGAGTCACAGGTGCGTTGCCGGCCTTTTAAGAAGGAGTACGCTTGTTTCTTGAAGGTTTGAAGGTCGTATCAAAGTTTTGCGTTCCAAACAATTCCTCAGAACACTCCCCGTGATACATGCGATAGAGAATACATAGCGAGGCTACATCCTTATGCAGTGCCAAAGAGTCCAGCCGGTCCGAGACAACAGGGCAGTCAACAATTCGGACAGATCGTCGTTGATTGCCGTCCAGAGGGAGGAGCTGGTACTGGGGTGCCCTCGCCCAAAGATGAGAACAGTATTCCATACATTGTAAAGTAGCAGGCGATGCCCCGGGGTGAAATACTGCCTCGATCTATTGAGGGGGGTGCTCTGAAATTGAGGAGATACGAAAAACGGCAGTTTTATAGCTGTGAAAACGCAGACCTGTGTCTTTGTGGCGTTAAATTGGGCAAGTTAAGTCTACCCCAATCTGAGATTCTCTCTAAAGAAGTCTCGATTTCAGACACATGCCTGTTTCGACTCTCGATGACGTTTTCCCGAGAAATGTTAGCACGACGGCGTAAAAGGCATCACCCGTGCTGTCATCCGCATAACAATGAATGCAACTAATTTGCAACATATCATTGATATGGAGGAGGAACAGAGTGAGCGATAGTACCTAGCCTTGAGGGACACCAGCGTTCACAGGCAAGCAATCAGAGCATTCACCGTCGACCACGACCTTTATGCTTCTGTCTGCAAGGAAGCTGGACCCCCATTTACACAGTTTCTCGCGAAGCCCATAGGAAGGTAGCTTCGTAAAAAGCCCTTTATGTCAAACCCGATCGAAGGCCTTCGCTACGTCCAAACTGACTGCCGTCGCTTCCCCCTTGCACTCGGTCGCCTGTGCCCAACAGTGTGTCAGATAAACTAGGAGATCACCAGCGGACCGGCCCTTACGAAAACCGTACTATCGGTCACTAAGGAGCTGATGATCCTCCAAGTACCGAAGGAGCTGGCAGTTTATAGATGACTCCATTATTTTCGAGAAAAGGGAAGTTATGGCTATCGGTCTGTAATTGGACGGTTTTGTGCGATCTCCTTTTTAAGGGATCGGTTGGACCATAGCTATCTTCCAGAACTCCAGGACTACTCCTGAAGAGTATGTGAGCCAAAAAAGACATGTTAAGACAGGTGCCAACTCTGGAGCGTACATCCTTAACACAATGGGTGAGATTCCGTCAGGCCCACTTGACTTATGGATGTCAAGAGACATGAGCGCCAATCGTACCGAGCGCTGGTGAAACCGAATATCCGGCATATTACACCCGCGCCACAGCAGAACCGGCGGTTCACGTCCCCCGTCGTCCAATGTCGAATTTGACGCAAAGAATGTGCAGAGGTGGGAATATTGGTCTGCAGAAATTGCCTTCGATAGATTTGGCGAGAGACCAGAACGCACGAGTTTCTGATGGAAGGCGCTCAATGGTATTTACATCCCGTGCCGCCACCGCATCAGCCCAGGCTCGGTAAGCCTCTGTGACAGGACGGAACGAACAACAGTTCCATCCCCTGCAGCACCACATCAGCAACAGAGACAGCATCGTCGTTGGGATTATCCTGCGAGAAGCAAACTCGTTTTCAAGGGTAGGATGCAAAGAAGGATCTCATCCCATCCCAATCCGCTGACCTGTAGTGCCAAACTCGGCGACCGCGAGCAACTTTGACACGCGGCGTGCACGCACAAGGCAGACTCCGGACGAGGCAGTGGTCTGATGAGCGAATAGGAGCATCAACTGTGTTGTTATAGCCGTCCGAATGAGAGGTCAGCAGAAGGTCCAACAGTGAAAGCCTCTGGCTCTCCACATCTGGGATTCGTGTAGACACGGTATCCAGTTGTGTTAGGCCAGAAGCAAGGGCAAAGTCGTGGACAGATCTCCCCGCGTGGTCCGTCCTACTACAAATACCATCCATTATTATTTAGTCATGTTTCGCTTAAATGGAGGGGTGTAAAAATACACAAAAACGCCGGGTACAACAGGTCATTCAGAACATTATATCTTGTTGTAACAATATTCTAACAAATAAACGTATTATATAGGTAATCTCGGGCACGCTACTATATCAGCGGTAAGACCCCTCTTTGAGGAGTGGCTTGAGAGACGCCACGGCGTCCTCACCTTCCGTCTGACGCAGGTGCTTACCGGGCACGGCAGCTTCGGTAGGTTCCTGTTTCGGATCCAGCGGGAGGAAACGCCCGAGTGTCGTCATTGTGAGGAACACCTAGAGTGAGAGGAACTGGGACGCCGTCTCCTCCTTTTGTGAAGCAGTCATGCTCGCAAAGAGAGAGGCGGCCCGCGTGAGGGAGCAATCCTCCTCCTCACGCCCCAGCAGCCGCAACTGGCGACACTACGGGCGTCGGGGATCAAGGGACGATCTCCGGCCACCGTAAGCATGGACCTGCGGTCGGCGAGTAAGGGCAGCTCGCCGCCCGACCAGAACCAGGCCCGAGCGTACGGCGCGTAGCGTTCCGCGCGCGCCTCAAAGAGCCATTAGACCACCACAGACGGGGCCCTAAAGGGCTGATGTTCAGCCGGGGTTGCGGGGTAGGCGCAATGAGGCACCGCGACCTCGGCATAGAGCAGGAGAAGGAACAGGGGGGTTTTTAGTCAGTAAGAGTCTGACACTCCCTCCTGCCCGGCCCTGGGCGGGAGAAGTCATTTGATGATTTTCCCCTCACAAAAAAAATATAGGTAATCTATACTTATAATAAATATGTACAGAAGTCAATTCTGTACATGAAATATATTTTCAAAGTAACTATCAGGGGGTGATAAATAATCGATACTAATGTCAAAAATGTAATCTATAAAATTTTTGTCTGTTTGTCTGTCAGTCTGTCTGTCTGTCTGTATGTTCCTTAAAAAAACAAAAACTACCCGACAGATTTTAACGAAACTTGATACAATTATTTTTTATATTCCTGGGCAGGTTATAGAATACTTTTCATCACGCTTCAATTAATAGAATCAATGCAGTGAAGGGAAATGTTGGGGTAATGGGAGAAGTTACTCCATTTTTTTAGCTTCCGTCGTGTGTACAACGTTCGTAGTTAAAGTTACATAGAAATTATGTATCACGGGAATATTCAACATAAAATTATCTATAAAATATCCTACGACAGTATACATTACGTCTATATTTTATGGTTGACTCGCAATAATACGTATAGCTCCTGATAGCTCAGCAGTTCGGAGCATTCTGATTATATTTGTTTACTATTACGTTTATAACTGTCTCACTTATCCTTTACATAAAAAAGTGTACATTATTATCTGTTCAATAAAAAAGAATGATAAAAATCAGTAAACATGTGTGCACCTCTTTGGCGCCATGCTTCAAGATCAATCAATAATTAATCGGTTTTTTGAGTTTGAGTTCAATGATTACATTGATTGAAATAAAATGAACACAGAATTTTGAGGAAAACTTACAGCGAGTTGCTGTAAGTTTTCCTCAAAATTCTATATATTCTATATAGTATATCTGTCTATCTCTCCTTCACACCTAAACTACTGAACCGATTTGGATAAAATTGAGTACAGACATAGCTTGAAACTCAGATGAAAGGTGATAGGATAGTTTTTATCCCGGGAATTCAAAAGGAGAACTTCCTGAAACTCCTATGAGATCGGGAACTATGTGGGAAAAGGTAAAACAAAAAAAGTGCCAGAAGTCACTATTTCATGAGGACGAAGTCGCCGGCAGAAGCTAGTTGTAGAATATATATAAACTAAGAAGGGAAACGGACCCAATGTCGAACCCCTGCGGAACGTCCATTTGCATTTTCGACCCTTGTGAGAAAGAAGCGTTAATAAACCTTTAGTTGCGTATTATCTTAATATGATTTTAATGAACGGCGCGGCGTGCGTCTCATCCCTTTATCCAGTTTGTTTAAAAAGCGTTTCATGGTCAACGCAATCGCATTTGAGAGTTAGCAAAAGACGGCAACGGCATTCTGTGCTTCCTCCCGCGCAGCAAAGATGGTAAAGACTCACGACCAGAGCGGCAGCGCGGGCAGCGCGGGCGCGAGCAGCAGCACGGCGCGCGAGTGCACGTTGTCCAGGAAGCGCGCCCAGCGCGACAGCTCCTGCCCCACGCCCGCCCACGACGGCTCGCTGCAACGCAAGCGGACGGCTCACTACTGCCTGTTGCTGCCTACATACTCGTCCACTTCGCTCTCTGTACTCACTTCTTGTTCACTTTCAGGTCATTCTCCTGTTCCTGCTGGCAGTAGTCTACGGCCTGCATTATCATCAGCGAGCGGGTCCCGGCCGGAACCCTACACAGGACATCACGCATTAATCTGTAGTTAGGGTTTGAGGCTCTCGATAAGCCGACGCGGGTATCGAACTTGTGAAACAGCCTACTGCGTCAGTCGTGTGGAGTAAAAAGTATTCTGTGTGCATAACTGTGCCGTACCGCTGGATGGCCTCGTCGCTGAAGCAGGTGTCGGCCACGAACTGCACGAGCTCGTGCTTGGCGAGCTTGTTGAAGTAGCTCGCGCACTGCCGGTACTGCTGCATCCATTTCTTACTCGTCGCGTTGCTCGGCACCTGCGCACCACTCCCCTACTATTGATTCTCATAGAATATATCACAAAACACAATAAGATCTCTACTGACACAGTCAAATTAAGCTTTTCACTATTTTTATCAATCTATTATTCTATCGTTTCTATAAAAACTAAGTAAAGCAATTACATTAACCTATCAGTTCTTCTAAATGTATAACAAGGTCGGTGTGACAGCTGTAACATTTCTATTTTGCTCCTCGACGTCGTCATGTCCAAAAACGCTATAAACGTTAAAGCTCACAAGCATTTTAATGAATATGAACAGAATCCATGGTAATCGATCCTTTGAAATAATGTAGTCGCACTGTGAAAGTGTAGCGGCGCAACGAGTACAAAGGTATGGTACTAACGGAGAAGAAGTGGTTGGTGAGCCAGTGCGCGTAGAGCGCGGCGGCGGGCAGCGGCGGGCGCAGCGCGGGCGGCAGCGAGCGCAGCAGCTTGCTCAGCAGCGCCACGTTGTCGGGCCGCGCCACGCCCACCACGTGCGCCGCCGCCCTCGCCGCACCCGCCGGCCCCGCCGACCCCGCCGACCCCGACAACAGTATCGCGTAGTCCAGCTCTGTCGACATGTACATCCGGTAAGCTCAACTCTGTGGCTGGAGGCGAGCGGTACTCAAACTAGGAAAGTGTGGGAGAGCCCTGCTTCAGCACGAATGCACTGCAGGAGTGTTACCACGGCCTCACAGAAAACAGGCGTGAAACAACCACAGCGTTGTGTTTCGCCGTCAATTTTCTTTGAAATCGCAACATAATATGACGCTGTAGCGGCACTATCACGTCGCTACATTACTTAGATACGATAGAGATAAGACATACATGTTAATTGTTGCACGTTTGTTAGGATAGCTAAATCTGAAAATCTCACGCATCTTCTTAGTATATAAGCACCAGCAATTAAAGTAATAAACAGACCTTAACCATCTACAGTCTCATTATTTACCTTGCCACGAAGTCTGGCAAATTGGGTGGTGACCCCGACGTGATTGACGTGGTCTGATTCCTCATAGCAACTGATTAGGCGTTCTTTGATAGCCTTGTACTTTTCTATTGGCGGTGGGCAAGTAATGAGGTCACTAACCTGTATTATTTCTTCTTTTGGCAGTTTTGCAATGACCGTATAGTACTTGTAATCGTCTCCTTGCTTCTGTGGTGCTACTATGGCTTCTAGTTGCTTAAACCATAATCTGGGTTGGTCCCTCCAAAATTCCGGCTGATATCTCCAAGGCTTCTTGTTGGCTGCTGCTTGATTTGCAGGGTGAATGAGTCATGTTGATTGTTCTTCGTCGGGGTCACCAATTTGCCAGACTTCGTGGCAAGGTAAATAATGAGACTGTAGATGGTTAAGGTCTGTTTATTACTTTAATTGCTGGTGCTTATATACTAAGAAGATGCGTGAGATTTTCAGATTTAGCTATCCTAACAAACGTGCAACAATTAACATGTATGTCTTATCTCTATCGTATCTAAGTAATGTAGCGACGTGATAGTGCCGCTACAACGCCATTATGTTTTGAAGTCAAAAAGCATTCTTATTTCGGATAAAGCTAGACTAAACCTAAATAAGTATATCGTCAAATCTATGAATGAAAGTAAGTTACCTGGAGAAGCAGCCTTGACTTTTTTCAGCAGTTTGATATGTTCAGCGGCAGTGAGAGGGCCTATGAGGGCCTTCTCATCCACACTCTTCAGCAGCGAGAAGAACATAATCAGTGCATTGTGCTCTGTGCCAGGTATGAGGGGCCAGAGAGCTTCCTTGATACTGTTGCAGGGGATAGATGCGGTATAGTAACAGAGCCATCGAGTGAGTCAACGAATCGCATGTATGGCATTTCACGTACCGCGCGTGGGCGTCAGGCGTATCCGTGAGGTCCGGAGGAGGAGCAGGCGCGGCCGGGGGCGAAGCGCGCAGCGCCGACGCCGCGTGCTCTAGCCACACAGACAGCGCGCACACGCCGTGCCGCCGCGCCAGCCGACACGCCAGGGTCGCGCGCGCCCCCTCGCCCGACCTGCGCACATACACTACCTACACTACACAGCGCGTGCCGCCGCGCCAGCCGACACGCCAGGGTCGCGCGCGCCCCCTCGCCCGACCTGCGCACATACACTACCTACACTACACAGCGCGTGCCGCCGCGCCAGCCGACACGCCAGGGTCGCGCGCGCCCCCTCGCCCGACCTGCGCACATACACTACCTACACTACACAGCGCGTGCCGCCGCGCCAGCCGACACGCCAGGGTCGCGCGCGCCCCCTCGCCCGACCTGCGCACATACACTACCTACACTACACAGCGCGTGCCGCCGCGCCAGCCGACACGCCAGGGTCGCGCGCGCCCCCTCGCCCGACCTGCGCACATACACTACCTACACTACACAGCGCGTGCCGCCGCGCCAGCCGACACGCCAGGGTCGCGCGCGCCCCCTCGCCCGACCTGCGCACATACACTACCTACACTACACAGCGCGTGCCGCCGCGCCAGCCGACACGCCAGGGTCGCGCGCGCCCCCTCGCCCGACCTGCGCACATACACTACCTACACTACACAGCGCGTGCCGCCGCGCCAGCCGACACGCCAGGGTCGCGCGCGCCCCCTCGCCCGACCTGCGCACATACACTACCTACACTACACAGCGCGTGCCGCCGCGCCAGCCGACACGCCAGGGTCGCGCGCGCCCCCTCGCCCGACCTGCGCACATACACTACCTACACTACACAGCGCGTGCCGCCGCGCCA